TACGCATACTCCTGCTGTCATGCTGAAAAGTAGCTATGCCAGTAAAGAGGCTCTCAACACTGCAGTTTAAGCCCATACATGCGTCCCAGGTGTATTTCTTCGATCGTCGAATTCTTCCAGTCTCTCGGCTCAGCTTCAGCATCACTGCACTGTATGTGGATACTATCCAAGCGTGCATGTTTGCCGTGTTGTCATGTTTTAACATGAGCGCAGTTGAGGGCGGGCACCCTGGCGCATGGATGGTCATATAGCCATATACTTACATGATAATACATATATACATATATTACCCTTACCTGCCTGCCATGCTGAAAGAACGGCGCAACCTCGAGAAACTCACCGAACACTGAAGTATTCAATCACCGTCATGCCGAAAACCCAGAGTTCTGACATCATGACTCGACATGGTGGCCTGATTCAACGTTTTTGAACTGAAGTGATTAGTGTGCGTCAAGGTGTCCAGTCGATTTTGTTGGTTCTTGCGCATTGTACTGTCCCTGAGGAACTTCATTATCTGACTTTTGTCTCTTGGGAAAAATCGGTACCCCGCAAGTATGGCACTATCCTGCTGCACGACAGGTGAAGTTACTACAAGTGTGAAATCGTAGAAATCACAAGGCGGAAAACAGCGGAAGGTATCGCTGTCACAACCGCACATCGCTGTCAAGCGGTGTAAGCTTGACGATGTATTATATAGGGGCCTTAACAATCACCTACACTATTTTTGGGGGGTGCTGTTCCTTATCAGAACTATACGTAGTATCACATACCCCCAAACCCTATTCTAATTATTGTGGGCCCTTTTTTAGGGTGGCTCTGTTTTGTGGGCACAAGTTGCTTCAGAGCTTAGAACAGTCGGCATAAGATAGAGTCCTGAATAGTTCTGAATCAGTGGGAGGTTCCGAAAATTAGGGGTACCTTATTTTGTGGTCCTTAGAACAAGGATCCTACAATTTCGGGTGCTATATCGGTTAGGGTCCCCTATTTTCGGAAACTCCCAGTACACGCCCCCCCCCATGTGAGTTTGGTTGTCGTCTCCCCAAGTCTCGCCTCACGCTCTCGAGCGCGAGCGCCAAAAATTTAGGCTCCCCATACTATACCCAGAGAGCCCAATACCCCTTAATTAAGAAATGTAGCTTAAATCATAATATGAAGCCCCTTACAATTCCAGCCATATTCCTTACTTAAGGGGTATTGGGCTCTCCGGGTAGGGCCCTGAGTATTTGTTTGAATTAGTATAGGCCGGGGTTTGCTTTGCATTTGGACGTGTGCAATCGCCAGAGACTGCCAATGGAAGGGGGATAGAAACTGCAAGGGGATAACATGAGTTTTGCCGACCCATATCTCGGGCTTGAATTGAGTCCGAGAGACTTGTCCTCAGATATGCCTGGAACACTGGCATCATCAACATAACAGAGTTCGATACGCGACCAGCAAAAAGAAAGCAGCGCTTTGTAAGGCATCAAGAGAAGACTACGAACCGAATACGACCGTCGTAACACCAACTACAATAAGCATACTTCAACAATACTGTCACCACGCGCACCTTGCGGGGTCTTGCTTGCAGACCTTGCCTGGCATCGTCCAAGTGCGAGCGTCAAAAAACCACCACACCCTTTGGCCTTGGTTTAAGACCTACCCGGAGAGCCCAATACCCCTTAAGTAAGGAATATGGCTTGAATTGTAAGGGGCTTCATATTATGATTTAAGCTATATTCCTTAATTAAGGGGTATTGGGCTCTTTGGGTAAGCCCTAAACCCATCCAGGCGTTTGCTGCGGCTTTCATGCAGCCGACGCTTGCCCGAGGTGCAGACTCAGAAACTTGTCGGTCAAGGGGAGGGAAATTGTGGTATTCCAGCTTTCGCAAGACGAAAGACCATAAGCATATTGAGTGAGCAAGACTTCATATCAGCCTCGATGAAGCACGGTGGAACATTCAATTTAGCAGTAATTATGAGGGTAGAGTGAATGCTCAAATAATAACTGTCGGCTTGAGGGTGGAAGCCATGCAGGGTTCGGGAAGGTCGCGATGTTTGTGCTTTTTTGGTTCGTGTCTATTGCATGTTACCGTGTCATGTTTCCTTGTGTCAGACAACACTTCGGCTGACGACGACGAGTAACTGTTACTGTTGCTGCAGTTACTGTCAAATACCAGCACCACAACTGCGTTTGCCTCCACTGCTAATTACTGCTACAGCTTTTGCTACGACTTCTCGTACCGCGACGACTGCTACTGCTGCTGATGCTGCCGCTGCTACAACGACGCCTACAACGAAGACGACGGCTACGACCACGACTTCCACTACACGACCACGAACAGTCGCTAACATCACGACTGCTGCTTTATAGCTCTTCTTCCTTGTCGCAACGGGTACTCATTGTTGTTGGTATGTCCAAGGCCACGCATTTGACTCCAATTGTTGATCGTGCGAAGCGAGCGTCGTGATTGTGGGAACAGGTTCGACCGTATCACTGCTCCTGTGCTGTTAGTTCGATCGTAATGGTTGGGCCTTCAAAGACCTGCCGTCATGACTTTGTGATGGTGGCACGGGCTTAGCGTGTTGCATGTTCAGCCCATTGCGAAGTTTGAAACCCTGCAACCCTCATGTAGGAGCCGAAATAATTGCCAATACCATTTTGTGGGTTTCGCAAGTAATCGTAGTAGAATATACCCCCCAAAACCCTATTCTAATTATGCAGGCCCCTTTATAATGCAAGCTCTGGGCTGAATTGCTTCTATCGTTCGCCTGCAGCTTGGAGCACGCGTGAGATTGCAAAGCTGACCTCATGATGTGCTTAGCTTCTTTAATATTAGAACAGTGTTTTTTTTTTTGAGGGGGGGGGGGCCGGGGGGCTCTTTCTTACAGTCACAGTATAAGATATATATATATATATATATATATATATATACCCCCAAAGCTCTTCTAGTTATTCTTCTATATCCTCGCCGGTGCCTGTGAGGAGCCCGACTCCTGAAGCCAGGCGACCTAAACAGCTAAGCAAAAGGGCCTGATGTAGGAACGTGATTAAGAAACCCTGGGCCTATATCCCTAAACTAGCCGTAAGATTCGTTTAAGGAACCCTAATAAAGGCCCAAGGTTTCTTAATCAGGTTCCTACATTACACCTTCAACCCGGTGCAGCTTATGCATGGCAACCATGCGGATTTCTGGTGGAGACTGCTGCCGAGGCTATCTCCAGAGCCCCGCTCTTCAGGAGAGGGCTCTGGCTCGGTTGGGTTTTGGGTTTACGGCTAGGCTAGGGGTTTCTGTAGGGTTTCCGGTTCATATAAGCTTCATAAGGCTACAGTCCAAGATCCAAGATGGCTGATGCAATTGAGCAAGGTTAAACTCCAACACATACGCCGTGTACATACCCCTCTTCGCTTGACTTCTATTGGAATCCTCGTAGATCAACTGAAACCCTAGACTCCATATGATGCTCGCTATTTTGTGCTCTGGCTTTAGATGGTGGGAGACCAAGTTCTTGATGCATAGGCTGCAGTAGGGGCTTGTAGCAAAAGCGCAATTGCTGTTATTGTATAATATATTCATATATTCATATATTCATATTCATATATATATATATAGATATGTATCTACCTCTGCGTACATACATACATGTATACAACCATACAATCATCCATCCCTCCGTCCAGCCAGCCAGCGAGCGAGCCAGCCGCCAGCCGCCACTCAGCCACCCACCCACCAGCAGCCACCCGGCCGCCGCCGCCACCCAGCCACCCCACCAAGACGCGCACTGCTTCCTAGATATTTGCCGAGGCTTCATGTGCGACTGATTGATGTTGACACTACCCCCTTCACGATGAGCTCACCTTTTCCCCTGTATGTCAATGCGTTACTGACTCCTTGTTTGATTGGAGTGCTGGACAGCTTGCTGCATGAGGCCTCCAAATCTTCTTTGCGCAGGCCTTTGCATCCTACGTCTGCTTGAGCCCAGCCCGCTCCAGACAAAGTGCATCGAGGGAGCTTGCAAGCTGCTCCGTGCCGAGCTGACTCCCGAGGCCGAGGATCAGTTTGTGACTTCACTGCAGACTGCGTGGCGGCTGGCCGGGGATTTCCAGCATGATTCGACGGGCTACGTCAGAAGTGTCGCGGAGATGTCGTCGTAGAACCCGGTGTGCCTCAAAACTGTCTTGTCGAGAATGTTGCGCTAAGATTTGCATGTGTTCCGAAGTGAATTTCCTTTTTCTTGTGCCTGCATAGAGCTCTGTCACGAAATCTGCACGCCACGCTAGTTTTGGCTGTCGTTGTCCTTCAAGCGGCTGCTTTGCTTTCCCGCCGAGGATGCGATCAGAGCTTCCAGATGAGAAGTTCCTGCAAAGTTCGGAACAGCTGAATGCTAACCAGCTTGGCTGTAAAGCATTGGTGTGCAGGGCTTCGACAGCCGCGGCTGTTGCTAGAATGCTGGTTTTCCTGTAGCGTCTTGTCTCGCCGAGCTGCTCACTCCTACAGCTTCTGCACTGGCCTGCAAAGCTAAAGTCAATCAAGATATCAGGCCGTGTTTGGCCACCCAGCCATGCCGAGCCACCGGCCCCCACCTGCCCCCACCCTACCACCCGACATCCCACACACCACACCCCACACCCCACCACCCAACCCCCACACCCCCACCCCCAGACCCCCACACCCGCGGACCCACACCCAAACATCCATCCATCCAGCCAGCCAGCCATCCGGCCATCCAGCCATCCATACATGCATGCATGCATGCATGCATTTGTTTGTATATAATAATAGTATGTAACATGTATGTGCGTATATATATATATATACATATATTTCTATATCATGCAGGTGTAAAACTTCGGGCGTTGGCCCCCCCCCCCCCCCCTTCCCGCCCCGGGCCCTAGTTGGCTTGAACCCTGCTTGATGAGTCCTTGTGATCCGTCTAAGCAAGCCGTAAAACCCAAGCACCCGAACCGAAACAGCTTCACGCCAAAGCTTCAATTTCCAAACCGGGCTTCAGAAGCTGAAGACATGCCGACACGACGGCGTCTGGACGATGCCCCGGCGAAGACATCGATGGAAGGCGAGGTTGCCACAATTCCCACATGCTCCTTTTTACGAAGTATAATTTCGGTTCAGCGTAAGTTTATGGAAGATAATAAGAATTTCCCTTCTTGATTGTGTATATGCGAATGAAGTTCTGCAACAATAACCCTCGGCGTTTGGTGGGGCGTTCAGAAATCCAGGCTCAGGGATATGATGTCGCCTTTAGAGCTAAGGGTTCAGAGCTTCTGGCCACAAGGCTTTGGGTTTGAAGTTGAGGATCCGAACACTTGAGACTGTTAGCTAACCATTGATATTATGGGAGCTAAGGAGCCAGGGATGATGATAACCTTAAGATGGCCCCTCGCTTGATAACTCTATGAAAACCACGAACAATAAACATGGAAAAGGAATGAAAAAAGAATGGAACCAAAAATCAAAACAAGAGACCAGGACCGACACAGGGAATGGAAAAACACAAAAAAAACGAAACCAAACATGGAAAAACAACCAAAAATAAATCAAACGCAAACAAAGACAAACTGTCAGGGCCAGGGCATCAGGGGCGACAGGTTCAAAAAAGGACCACCCTGGACCAGCATTCTGAGTTTGTTTTTTTCCCATTTTTTTCATTGGGTGGGGGTGGGATTTGGGCCCCGTCCCAGGTGGCCTCCATCCTGGAAAAAACACAAATTCCTTGAAGCATTTGGGAAAAAATGAAAAAAATAATGGAAACATAGTGGAACCAAAAATGGAAAAGAAACGGAACCAACAATGAACAAAAATGAGATGGATCGGGGCCGCACGGGAACTATGGAAAAAAAGTGAAACACAAATCAGATGCCAAGTGCACCCTGCAACCAAATCGGAGAAACATTGAAGTCAAAATGCCACGGGATTCCAATCCCATATTTTCTCCATTGTTTTCCCATTGCTTGTTTGATTGCCTGAGTGCCTCGATTCCATCTGCAATCTCAAAATAATCCCATTATTTATTATTTCCCGAGATAATAACGTTAACAGGACCGGGACATCTGATAACCCCTATCAAATATGGAGCTAAAGAGCCAAGGGAACCCCCAAAACCACTGGTTAGTTAGAGTCGGTGTTGTTTGGGGAAGCCGTGGGGTTCAGGGTGCTGCGCTCGCTGAGTTGAATGACCTCACTTCACTGTCAAGCAAAACCCAAACCCTCGCACTGATTTTTGCAGATGCCGGGTCTTCCGTGACCTACGGCGGGCTGAACCTGTCCGAGCTAAATGATGAGGCGCCGGGCAGCAAGTTGAGGTTCGAGTTTGGGTTCTCGAGCCCGGGGAGGAATTGCAATTAATCTGGTTTCCGTAGCAGTGCAGACGTCCTTTTTGTTTACGAGGTTGCGTGCAGTTGGCCGGCGGATTGTTGTTGTCCTTCAAGGGTTCTTCCGAGGGTCAAGTTTCCAGGACGTACGGTAAAGGGTTTAGGGTTTAGGGTGTGTAACAGTATGCGCGCGGTGGGTGCGTCTTTTACTTTAGGAATAGGGGGCGCGCCCACTAATCGCGCGCTTGCGTCAGCATGTAGTCCCGCCCCAACCACCCCAACTATTTTCAATTAGGGTTTAGGGTTCACCCCCCAAACCGCCCTCAAGGGGGCTTTCTTGCTCTCTGCTTCCTTTCTCGGTTTTGACATCATCGTATTTCACCACAAACCACAGCTGGAATGGATTGGTGTCGGGTTGTGGGTCCTCGCGGCCTGTGCCGGCCGCTCGACGAGAAGAGGGTTTCCAACAAACACTTCGCACCTCGCACCCTGTCAGGGCTGCTCGCAGGAGCCTGTGCCGGCCGCTCGACGAGAAGAGGGTTTCCAACAAACACTTCGCACCTCGCACCCTGTCAGGGCTGCTCGCAGGAGCCTTGAAGTGCTGGCCTGCTCAAAAAGCTTTCAAAGCTTGGGAAGCCATTGGGGAGGTTTCTGCAGAGGCCCTGGCGGCTTCTGCAAGGCCCGGAAGCTTAACCTCTTGCAGGAGGCCCGCCCCTGGGAAGGCCGCCCCCAAAAAGGTTTCTGCAGAGGCCGTGCCGGCTTCTCGAAGCCCGGCTCCTGGACCTGGAAGGTTGGGACCAACCTTGGAAGGCCCCTTGGGAGGGCCTCCTAGCTCGCCCCCTAGGACCGGCCCGGAAGGTGGGACCAACCTCTTGCAGGAGGCTTGGGAGGGCCCCTAGGAGGCCCTGCTTTAATGGGAGGCCGCCAGAAACGAGCCGGAAATTTGGTAGGCCGCCTTCTAGGATCGGCTCAGGACGCCTCGGGTCGCTGGAATCTGCCAGCCTGGGGCCCCAGACCTGCCTGGGGGTACCCCCCAGACCCCTTCACAAATGACATCAATGGTCGTGGGTTTGGGGTTCGCCTTTATTGCCTGACGGCAAAGAAGTCACTCGCGGGGCGGCGTCACTACAGTCCTCGTATACCGGGAGGCTTTACCCTCCCTCACCGTTCTGACAGGACGCTCGGTCGGGGACCTCGGTCGAAGCCTCGAGCGCCCATGCATATGGTCGCGGCGCTCTCGGCAGTTTAGGGTTTAGGGTTTAGGTTTTAGGGTTCAGAGTCGGTGAGGTCAAGGGCTTTGGCGAGCGCAAGCATACAGCCCCTCCTGAAGAGTAGTGGTCGCTGTTCATCCATTCTGGCCAGATTCGTACCGAAGGTCTTACATCATAGTCAGAACCCAATCCTTCAAACCGATGTCCCTCTCCGGCTTGGCTTCTTGGCTTTGAAATATGAAATCTGACACCCCTTATAGTCCTGAAAAGCTATACGATAGCCGATATGTGGCCCCTAATCAGCCACTAGTGACACCAGTGCCGCATCCGGAATCACTCCTGAGGTGCTTCTGCAAATTCTGTGCCTTGGCTCTGTTTATGTCACAGTTGCAGGAGAACAATGGGAACCTACGGCCCCGAAGAATTGAAGCTCCCCAACAACCCGTCCCGGGCTTAGGAACCACCTTCCGGGCTGGATGGGCGGTCGCGCAGAGGCGAAGACAGCATCGGCTTTGACGTTGTAGGATTTGCCAATATAGCAACCCTTGGATTTCTTTTGCCTTAAACCCTAAAACCCTAAACCCCTAAACCCCAAACCTTAAACCCCTAAAACCCTATACCCCTAAACCCCTATACGCCTAAACCCCTAAACCCTAAACCCCTAAACCCGTTTAAATTTCTGCAGGCGACAGGCCTTGGAGCCTGGCGCCGGGAGGCGATCGGCGACGGCTGGTGGCAGACCAGGCTGTTCTTACCTTGGGTTAGTAGGGAATGAAAGGGGCCTTATAAAGGGGTCTATAAGGGTTACTATAAGGGATCTAGAAGGGTACTATAATATAGGGGCCTTAATAATCTTATAACTTACCTTGGGTTACCTTTTGAAGGACCTATATAAAAAATCATGATAAGGAACCTTAAAAAGGTAGGTTATTCAGGTTTACTTACCTTTGGTTAGTAGGGAATGGAGGAATGGGGTACAATTATAACTACTATTAGTACTCCTCGCTTCCATGGGACTAGAAAGGTAAGTGTTGGTCCTCCTGATGTGCTTTAACGGTTTAGGGCGTAGGTCCAGGATTTAGGGTTTAGGATTTAGGATACGGTTTAGGGTTAGGGTCTAGGATTTAGGGTTGATCGCAGGTTTCATATGCTGCTTTTGGGGCTCCAAGGCCTTGGGGTGTGGCTGAAGGTTCATGAACTGCTGCGAGTAGGTTCATGGACCAGGGTGGTGATCAGCAACGGAACTACATGCATATTCGCGGCATAGACCCAGCTACATCCTGATGAACTCAGCTGTTGTTTTACGATGTTTGATCTTCGGGATGAACACGGTTATCTTACAAGGTTATCTTAGGTCTGTATAACTGTGATTATGAAGAGTCAAAAGAGTGGGGCAGGGAGGCGTGAAATCCTAAGCTCCGCCCTGATCAAACGAGGCGCTAAGTTAAGCGGGTACGCAGCAGGGATACCTTGCACAGTTGCAGTATTTCTGGCATAATCTCAAATCCTAGTTTCGAAGTCTCCAACCAGGTGTTGCCTGGAATTTGCAGCGCAGCTGAGACCCACTGAGGTCCGTCAAATGTCAGTGCTTTGAATTGAAAATTAGTTTTATTAGCATAATTTTAGTTTCGGCTTTCACCTCGAAGTCCGAAACTCCAGCCCGAGCCGAGAAGCATGCTATCAACTCATGACAAAGACCCGAACATGGAGCCCAACCTTTCTCACCTAAACCCAGGACCCCAAAAATTTATCAGCACTAAATCACTAAGCATCCCCGGACCTTGAATTGCGTTGAAGGCTTAAGGCACCTGAACCTAAGACCCAACACCTTCCAACCCTCAAACCCAAACACCCCTCCACCCAGGATATGGGTTGACAAGTCACAAAAACATATACAGTAGAAGCCAGAAAGTTGGAACATCATTGCCCTCATGCCCTTAAGGTAAAGTATAAGGGATCCTAGCACCAATCCTCCTAAAGTCATGTTCCAACTTTCTGGCATCTACTATAATCCTTAGTAAGCCCTAGGTGTTGAGGGCAGGGCCTAACGTTCTCAATCCCTGGAAGGAGGAATTACATCGCTTGGGTAGGGCTTCTCCCTACATGGTTTTCCCTTCAGATCACAGAGGGCTTCTTAGCGCGGTTACTTATATGTGTATGTAACGGGTGTATATATATATATATATATATATATGCACATGCCATTTCGCTCTCCCTCCCTCTCTCTCTCTCTCTCTCTCTCTCTCTCTATATATATATATACACATGTAAATGAAACACATTGCAAAGTTAGATGTCCGTCGGATCTCTGGGAAGGGCAGCGAAAGGCATTGAGAACTCCCCGAGAACCTGAAGCCCCTAAAAAATCTAAACCCTAAAACCTAAAACCCTCAACCCTAAAAGCCCTCGTCTTACGCCCAGTCGGAACCCGCGTTTCGGATCTAGCGAGTCGAAAAAGGGACGTGAACAAAAAAAAAGATATTATAAAATGAAATCCTAGAACCCTGAAGGATTCCTGGCGCAAGCGATACCGCTGCCTCCTGGGCATGGCCGATGCCTGGAGCGCTGTGTTTCGGGTTTCAATTTTTAGGGTTTAGGGCTTTAGAGGTTTAGGTTGTTTAGGTTTGAGGTTGCGACGATAGTAGAATTAGGAGAGCTCACACGGTGTGGCAGGCTTGAAAGCTGAGTCATGCTGCACTCTCTTTCGGATTCCGTTCTTTCAGCTTCCTTCAGCCTCCTGCGTGAATATGATGCTTGTTCAGAGGTCCGGCCCCCAAACCGTGACTCAAAAAAAGGCTGTTTAGGTTTAAGGGTGTTAGGTCTTTAGGGCTTTAGGGGTTTTGGGGGGGTTAGGTAAGGTTAGGGTTTCAATTTTTAGGGCTTTGGGCAGTTTAGGGTTTTAAGTTTAAGGCTTTTAGGGCTTGCGGTTTATATAGTTTATGACGTCCAAACAAACCCTATATCGTGTCTAACATCAGAGTTCGAAGAACTTGTATCAATTTCCGCTCATAGTCCCTATATAGATATATGAAAGTACACCTTCAAGACTCAAGTTTAATGATTGAAGCTTATATATATATATATCACCAAAACTTACCAAACGATAATTGCTTGTATGTACGGCCTTAGTATGGAGCCTGATTAGAATGCAAGGGAACTGCAACTCCAAGGGGCACAAAGAAGTTATTGAAGTTCAGGTATGTTCGGGCAGAGTTTGGAGTATCCAGAACTACCGAGACGCCATTCGTACTACAAGTCTCTTCTGCTTGGTTTCCTGATGCCCCTCATTCTTGACGGAGCATCAGATGCCCCGGGCCCATTAAAATTTCCTATCTATACCCGGGTTGCTGGTGGCGGGGCAGGCTTAAGGGACAGTGGTAGTGTTCACTGCCACGGAAAGGGAATGCCACAGTTTTCGGGTTGTGGGTACCGTTCCCGTGCGCTGTGCTTTTGGCAGTGCAGCTTTGATGCCGACAGCCTGAGCTCCTGAAGTCTGAACACGATCCGGCAGCAGGACTGGAAGCTGGTGCTACAAAAGCCACCGGCACGGCGGGGATGCCCAGCCGAGTCCCAAAACCCTACACTTTGGCAAACCGGGGAGTTCGGTCAGAAGGGCGTAGTAGTAGGTCTTGTTCTTGACACTGCCCGCCCTTTGCTGACGGTCTTCTCGAAGCCCGACTGGTGTGCTCGGTCATGGGAGGATATGTTCATGTTGCTAGGAATTCGCATTTTCTTCTACGTGCAGCCCCATCACGTCGCGAAATGCATCTCTGCATTACTGCAATTCATGAACCTTTGCCTGTGCGCTTCTAGCACGTGTCGATTTTGCGCGATAAAGATGCTGTAGTTCGAGCGGGGGCATGTATCTCTTGCTCAGGGCTTATATGGTTTTGCTGGGTTCGGGAATAGTTGTACATTGTATTGAAGCTCTTACGCATACAGTTACTTTACTTGGAAGTTTTGTCTACAGCCACGTATGAACCTCAAGCTAGCCCGTTTCGCAGGCTTGTTGACCTAACTTCAAAAAACTTACAGTATACCCTAACCTGTCTTTTGCTCTAGCCTAGACCAGTAGTCGAAGAGCCTTGCCTGCCGTGCGTGAGTGCGAGAGTCGAAACTATCCGCCCCGAGCCCAAGCTCTACAGCCCCGAACTGTAAATAGAGCCCTGTACTAGTTCTTAAGCGTCTTAACCCTGAACGCTAACCTTGACGGATGCCTGATGCAGGAGCTTCACAAAACCAAATCCTCATCCCTTAGTTCTTCATAGGAGGCCAAAGGGGTTTTAGACTATGGGGGTTTAGCAGGGATTAGGGTTCGTATAAAACCCCCCAAGAATCTTAAACCCCCCTTTTGGTCTCCCCTTGGTTCAGGCCTGGGCGACCGCGTGGCAGCACCGCAGCTCTTCGTCGGCCCGACTGGGCAGAAGCTGTTTTGTCACCCGGCAACGAGGGTTTGTATGTTGGAAAGCCATTCAAAAATTAATGAGGCTTGGGTTCAGGGTTTTGGGCCTAGGGTTGACCTCAGTCCGTGTTGAAAGGCTTGGAGGTATTCGACTTTACAGGGGTTTTGAGGGTTCCTGTAGGGGTTGCGATAAGGGATCTAGAGGGTTTTTTCATTTAGACTTTAGGCTTTAGGGTTTCGGAGCACCTTCAATAGTTTCGGCCAGGGATCTGGGTTTAAGTCGTTTAAGGTTTCCTGTGAGGGCTACTCTACACTCTACGCCATCCAAACTGTGGGGGTGGGGGTTTTTAAAGTTTCGAGTTAATTCAGGATACCTGCGGCTCAAGACTGGCTAGGTGATGTAGTAGGTACGTTTTCGATTATTGGTTTTGAACCCTTATAACATCCCATTCATCAAGTCTCTAGATCTTCTAAACGAGCTGCTTTTTTTGGATGTCGATTATTCGTTTACACACGTCCTCATAAGGTTGTGGTGGTTTAGGCCTTTGGGCTTTGGTGTTTGCAAGAGGTTGATGGGATGAATCTTCCAGGGTGTGCAGGACACGGTGCTGGGTTTACTGCAAAACTTCGGTCAAGGCAGTGCATCGCCAGGAGTGTAAAGTAGGGTTGACGTTCGGAAGAGGTGTGGGTTATGATACAGATCTAGGTCTCATGCAGTGCTTCTGGTCCTGACCCACACGGCATATGCCGCCAAAACCTGACACCCAACAACTAAATCCCAACAACAATTTAAACCTTTACCACGAAGCCCAAGACTCGGCGCTTACTATAGGGACTTAGTAATTACCTATACTGTTTTGGTACATTTTGGTGGCTCCTTACTATAGTTATACTACAATTAGACCCTCTGGATGCAACGGCAGAGAGAGAGAGAGAGAGAGAGAGAGAGAGACGGGAGGACTGCTCCCGCTCCAAGCCCCTAGCAAAGCAAAACCCCCAAACCCCATTCTAATTATTGAGGCCCCTCTCCTTCTCCTTACTATAACTATAGTACAATGTGCCCCCAAACCCTAATCTAATTACATATTAAGGCTATTAAGGCCCCCTCTATCATAATTATAATACAATATGCCCCCAAACCCCCCCGTTCTAGTTATTAAGGCCCCTCTATCATACCCCCCTAAACCCTAAACCTTAAACCCTAAACCTATCATATCCCCGTCCCTGATAACCCAGAGATCCGAGGCTATGGAGGCTGGACCGACCGAGGCCGGCACTCCAATTCTATAAGGGATCCTTAAATGGGTTCTATAAAGAGGGTTCTGTAAGGGATCCTTAGAGGGTTCTATATCCTTAGAGGGTTCTGTAAGGGATCCTTAGAGGGTTCTATATCCTTAGAGGGTTCTATAAGGGATCCTTAGAGGGTTCTGTAAGGGATCCCTAGAGGGTTCTACAGGGGATCCTTAAAGGGTTCCATAAGGGATCCTTACAGGGTTCTATAAGGGATCCTCAAAAGGTTCTACACGGGATCCTTAAAGGGTTCTATAAGGGATTTACATATAATGGTTGAGTTTTAGTCGGTACGCTTCAGAACATCAAGACTGTGTCACCTTTCCGCGCGCCCCTAGACTCTTACCACTGAGGTTCTGTGTCGGAGCAAAAGATCTAGACAGTTTTTCAACAACAAACAGCATAGCTTATAGGCCATGGAATCCTGCAGGTTGTCTGCATGTGGGTGGTTGTCAAAATTATGGTCCCGTTTTTGGGTCCCTATTATAATACGGCACCTGATGTTTAGCGTACCCGGTTAGGAAGCATAATGTTTTCACAGCTACCCATGTGTTTCCTGTAATTGCGGGAAGTGAAACTTCAAGGAAGAAGCAGCAGTGAGAATTCGCAAGCAGCTTGTTGCTAAGCAGCTCTCGGCTGGAACCTTAAAGCTCAAAGCAGCCCTGGCTACTACCAAGGCTTACCGCCCAATAAGGGCTTAGGGTTTAGGCATGATCATTCAACAATCATTTCCTATACTAACCTGGCTTGAGGGCCCGAAACCCCTTGAAAACGCTGAGCGGCAAAAACAGGCCCGCAACCATAAACCCTCAAGTGGCCAGGACCCCAGACGGACTTGCATTCAGTTCCTCTCCAGACCGTCACGACTTCGGCCCAACGTGGCGAGGAAGGGGTCACAAGAGATCAAGGGGGATTTCTCAAGGGGTGTAGGGTTTAGGGGTTCAGGGTTGCTCGGACCGGGCTGCTGGACAACGAGGCCTGCTGCCAAAAGGGGTTCAGGGTTTTCGGATTCAGGGGTCGAGTCGCTAGCTGATAGCTTGGAGGGGGGGAGGCTCCTGGGGCTCCTGCGGATTCGGGTCGTTCCGGATAGAACGTAGGTCTCTCTCTAAAGGGAGTTCCAGAAAGTTGGAATATGGAATAATGATATTCCAACTTTCTGGCTTCTACTGTAGAACATAGGTCTCTCTCTAATCTTTGGGGCAGGCAGTGCAAGGGCATATTCTGCATTGAAAAGTGCAGTGCCAGGTTTCCATATGTGTTTACTCATCGGCCGCCCGAACCGTGAACAGCTGCTGTTGAGATGGGTTCTCTTAAGAAGGGCTCCTTAAAGGGATCTTTAGGGTTTAAGGTTTAGGGTCTACTTCTAGAGTATCCCTGGTTCCTTCAATTGCTGTCGCAAATTCAATTCTCCGGTGCTGCCGCGCGTGTTCTAGTTTAAGAGGTCTGAAGACCAGACGTGGCAATCAAAGCCCATTTGTAAGTACGTCGGGTTAACTGAGGATAGTACCCCGTATAGTCCGCATAATACATACAAAGCCGCAGTAACACCATCAGTATAATAAAAGTTAGTATCAACGGCCCCAGAAGTATTAGTGGTAGCAACAGTGCAGTACAAAAGACGATCACATTAAGACTTCGTATAACAAGGTTAGGCAACCGCGACCCGCGAATTCCCCCAAGGGTAAGTACCCTTCGGGCCTTAACATTTACCTATTTTGAGGGTTCCTTGTTATATAATTATAGGATAATGGGTCCCAAAACCCTATTCTAATTATTAAGCTCAAGGCCTCTATAGCAGGGATCTTGGCGCATGCAGCGAATAAAGGCTCCCAGAAGCTGCCAAGCACCAGGACGTGGAGCCGTGGCGCTTTGCCCGCTCGCAGGCGCACGTCCGAAATTCGGCGGTTTCAGGTTCACCCGGAACCGAAGGTTTAGGGTTCAGGGTTTAGGGTCGGTAGAAGAATCACGAGCCTGGGTTTAGGGTTTAGGGTTACTGTCAGGATTTATGGTGTACATGTTCTTCCGGGGGCCCGAACATGAAAGCACATCGTCCTTGCAGCAAGGAAGGGCATAGGCCAACAGTGTTCCAGTGGTATCTTGGCCCTAACCCCTCCGTGCAATTTGGGGCAGCCATAGAGGCCGCCAAACTCCCAGGAAACTTTGATCCAAGGCACCGAAGCGCCACACAGTGACTTCAGGGTACACTGAGCTCGAAAGCCTAGGTTGGTGTGCCTTTGTGGTGGTCGTTTGTTCACCAGATGGCTGGGTTTCAATGCACAGAAGTAGCGAGGCATCAACTCATGCAAGCGGTGTGGATTAAGCTGCTATCTCGATCCTTCAACCGCGAGCCCCCAAGCACTTAGAGGACGAAGAAACGGGCGTATCACAGTGACCGTAACCCCCCTACCAACAGGCCTAAGGCCGGACACCTCGACAAAAGCACCCACATGGGAGCTGATAAATTGCCAAGGGTCGTAGCCTCCCCATGCCAGGAAGCGGGTCAGCCGCCTCATCGGGGTGGCGTCTCCACGCTGACGCCCCTCTGGTACGGCGAGGATGCCGGCAGAGGGGGGGTTTCAGGGGGTTCAAGATAAGCGGTGAGTGAAGAGTGCAAGTACCGGTATCATGCTTATGAGGCTTGTGATGTCTAGCGCTTCGGGGCTATCAGGACCATGCTCTTGTCTTGTCGCATAACTTCGAAGCCCTGGCATGTGGCAAACAGCCCATCGCAAAAACTTTCTATTATCTGTCAATCGTAGGCGCGCTACCCTCAGATCCCACACGCAGGAGACCGAACAAGGTTAGACCACCCAGGTGTATTCGTTGAAACTGGACATTCCTGCTATATCTGAGCATTAGTGCGAGGGCTCGTGCGAGATGTAGCGGAAGGGGAGTCCTGCATATCCTGAGCTTTCCTAAGCATAAATCCGGCGTAATCCCCAAACCCTCATCGTAAATAAGCCCGAAACCGGACGAAGTCCCTGAACCCTGTATGCTCCCGTGAAGTGCGAAGTGGGGTTTGAGCGCTTCGTGTGTTTTAGTTATGTGTTTGGTTGGGCCCCTCACCTTGAGCTTCTCTCTTGTGGCTGCCTGTCTGAACCCAGTTGTCATGAGCCTTGCCTGCCTTGTGAGTTCCGAACAACCATATGCCCTAACCCTATACCATCTGATTCAGGGACCCGAATATGAAGCTCGGACTACTACATAAGACGCTGAAGGACGATTCCCAGACCCCTGACAGTATTCAAAAAGTAGGTCACGTAAGGGGTTCCTACAAAGTACCCTTCGCAGTAGAGTCAGAGGGTCCCAATTCGGGGTGGTCTACTTTCTAGATCCTCCAAGGGTCTGGTACTAGGTCTATGCTCCTTAATAGCAAGAATCCTAATGCCGAAAGCCTAAACTCTGAGCCTGTAAACCTTAAACTCGAAAGCCCAAGCTTTAGGCTCTTTAGCCAGAGGCTCCATAGTAGTTCTTTTTTGGGGATTACCTTATAGGATTCTATATATGAACCCCAAAAAAGAACTACTTTGGAGCCTTAGGGTAGCTCTCTTAAATCCAAAACCGTAACCCTAAACCCTAAACCCTAAGCTTTAGGCTCTTTAGCTCTGTTAAATCCAAAACCGTAATGCCAACATGGAGGAGGCTCCCAGTGCTGAGCATCTCCGGGCCACGGCCTGGGGCTCGTCCTTCGGAGTTTGTCAGTGGGTTGTGGTTTAGGGTGTACCAGTTTAGGCTCTAGGGTTTGGCGTTTGGGAGTTTAGCATGGATGTAATCTACCGCTTCGATCGATTCCGATTTGTTACCGACACGTGGGCGATGCAGTAGTGGTGGTATTGCTGGACTTCGGTTCGAGTCGATGTCGATGTCGGGGTTTGAGCCGAGACTGGTGACAACCTGAGCACACACATACCCACTAGACCACAAAAATCCACCCCTCCGACCCAGCCCTGAAACCTTCGGAGCTCTCTAGGGCTGGAGCTGGGGCTTGGGCTGGGGTTGGCGCGACTCGAACCTTCCAACCCTCCAACCCTCCAGCCAACCCATCACACCCCTCCAACCCAGCCCTCCAACCCTCCAACCTTCCAACCCTCCAGGACTATATTATGCTTTCACGCTCCGCCCTCTAAAGTATTTATTTTCTCACTGGACCGCTGAAGGAGGCGTGGAGGGTTGGAGGCTTGGAGGGTTGGAGGGCTGGGGGTTGGAGGGTTGGAGAGTTGGAGGGTCGGAGCGTTGGAGGTTGGAGGGTTGGAGGCCAACACATGCTAGGATGGACGGCTGAGCGGGGCGGGCCCTCCAGGAGTGCTGGAAGATTGGAGAATTGGAGATTTGGAAGGGTAAGGTGCCGGAGGGTTAGGTTTAGGAGTTGGAGGGTTAGGGGTGGGGTTGATAGGGAGGGTTGGAGGGTTGATAGCGCGATAGTTAGCGATACTATTTGTATTCGGTGCGGTTCGATATCGATACCTGGATTTGGCGATGCCTTGCGGTTCGATACCGATATGGTTTCGATATCGATAAAAGTATTGTTGAAACATCCTTGTTTAGGGCTTATTAAGCTTTTTGGGTCACTAAGTAGTTACTAGTTGTGCACGACTGTTCGTCATGGCGGAGTAGCAGCAGGCCCGTTGCAAAAAGGGCTTCAGGTTGACTCACGACATGACATCCCTTGCAGGAAAGGGATGTGTGCAGACAGTACACTTGCCTGGCCCGTTTCAACGTCAGCCAAGCGCATGAAACCTGGCTGTAGGACTCGTGCAGCTCGCAGAAATGTCATATTTCAGAAAAGCACAGAAGTCAACAGCGCTGTGAAAAGCCGCCCTGGAAACCGCAAAGCTCTGAGTAAGAAGCATATGTTTCAAACGATTAATAGAGGGACCGGCCTCAACATGTTCATTCAAGGCCGTGGAGGGCTTCCGAGCCCCAAACCCTCAGATCCTTGAATCGCGAAGACAAACTTCAAAACCCTACACCCAAACCGTAAGAAGCATACAAATTCCCTAAATGTCAAGCGGTATGCCCGAAACCCTACACAAAATATGACCCGCAGAATCCCATGTAAAAAGCACATTTTTTTAAAAAAAATCTTGTCCCTAAACCCTATAGTCCCTAAAAACTAACCTAAACCCCTTAAACCCATAGTCCAAAATCCCAAAGCCGTGAACCTAGTCCCCAAACCCGTTCAGTCCCCAAAACCGCCTAAACCTCTACTCCTTTCTCTTTACCCTAGACCCTAAACCCTATAGTCCCTAAGCCCCTATAAACCCATATCCACCCCATAACCCTATAAACCCGATAGACCCCTAAACCCCTCAAACGCTAGTCCTCTCTCTTTGGGCCCTGTTGGACTCTCACTTTTTTTTTAGTTTGGGCTCACGAGCCTCAGTGTACGAAGTAGTTTAGCGGGCCTTATACTAAATAGGAGACTTATATAGTAGCTGAGTGGATCCACTTTACACTTTTTGGGATAATATTACCCACCATAAAACTGAAAGTGTACACTTTTTGGGCGCTTATGAACTCAGCAACTACGTATACTAAATAGAACAGGGTTTTCTCAGGCCAGAGATCTCCAGCGGCTCACCGGTGTGCCACAAGCCGAGGGTGGTGCTTTGGCGCCGGGCTTTGAGGGCTTGTAGTCTGTGGTAAACTGTGCTTACTATATAATTACATACTACATATATATATATATATATATGTATGTATATTGTAGTAAGAGATGTCTTGCATTTTCTAGTTTATTATCGTCTTCTGTAGTATATTATAGTACATGACTGCATGTGTCACAGTATTTTTTGTTCTCTTCCGGGCCAGGCTGAGGGTTTCCGCAGCGCTCTAGGGCTAGGCTCAGAGTTCGGCGCTTTAGGGGTTCTTGCGGCTACGATTTTGGGCATCGGGGTTTTCGGTTATTGGGGCCGCAGCTTTGAGGGCTCTTGGGTTGTATGGTGGTGACTTAAGACATCCACTAGTAATGTGACTGTCTTTGGTGCCATGGGCTTCTTTAGTGCGTATTTTTCTGCTTATTCATGCCGGTGTACATTTTTTGGGTGGCATAAAATGTTGCGTTTTGTTTTTTGGCCAGTTTTTGTTTGGTGGTGTGCTTCGACCCTTTGTGCTAATGGTCAATCTTAACTCAGTAGAGGATCATGAACCAAAACCCCAACCCCCAAACCCTGCTTAACAGCTTTACACCTAAACCCCCGTACCGTACTGCTACTGTACTACTACTGTTCCATTATACTCCTACTTTACTGCTGTATTACTACTGTATCATTTACAAAATAGTATACTTCTACGACGACGACTACTACTATACTGCTCCTCCTGCCACTGCTGCTACTGCTACTACTACTACTACTACTACTACTACTACTACTACTACTACTACTACTACTACTACTATACTACTACTACTACTACTACTACTACTACTACTACTACTACTACTACTGCCACTGTATAACAACTGCAATTACTCTTTTACCGGGCCTCAGACTTGGTCGATTAGGGAGGGGCGAGCAGGTTGAAGTCAAAAGTCTTCAATTTTGATGGTTATTGGTTAGAAGCTGCCCCCACCCTGTAATAGTGGTATAATAGGAATATAATAGGGCCCTAATATAATCCTAAATAATCCTTATGGTCACTATTGCAGGGTGGGGGCCCCTTCTAAGTTATTGGGCTTGGTCGTTATCTTGGAGTGATCGGGGTTTGGCTTCGAAGTTTTGGCAAAACCTCGAAACCAAACCACGATCACTCCAAGATATCCACCAACACCAGAAGCCTTCATTTTGAAGACTTCATGCTTCATCCTACACTCCCCCCAACAATTTAATTTGGGTCCCCTACTGCCCAGCTTGTCAGTCCCAGGTACCTCCAAACTCTCTTGCTGTACTATACTGCTTTATTGCTGATGTACTACTGCTGTACTGCAACTGTGCTGCTGCACTACCACTGGCTGCAGCTGTACTATTGTACCAGCACTGTACTACTACTCTCACCAACTGCACATCCTTCTAAAGAGCCTACCTCCCGCCCAACCACCATAACCTCCTCTACAGCCCTTACGCACAAGTCCGCGCAGGATCGCAGACCCCAAGCAACCCCCAAACCCCTCAGATCCACCAAATCCCTTCTAAGTTATTAAAACCAACCCAAAGCAACGGGGTCACACACAGGGCTACGGGCATTACATAGTTCACTCGCGCCCCGAATGAATGGTTGGGGGGGGCACACTGGAAAACAGTCACACATGATCGGAATTTTGGGAATGTCGCCCAAGCTATTAATACTAATAATGCTTGGATGCCTGTGCTGATGCTGTGCGGTAGGAGTTGTTCCCGGACTTACCAGGCTTTGCAGCAGCAGCCCCCGCGACTCCGGCTGTTGCCAGCAGTATCCCGCAGTTCCTCTAGTTCAACGGGATGGACATCCACAAAATCCGCTTTCTTGGTTTTGAGAGTGCCTTCGAATAGAGGAGATTGAAGTTGATCATCATTACAAGGACTCAACGCCTCAAGCTCTCTACGCCCTGTTGGAGGATAGCAGAGGCATCCAATAGGTCAGTTTGCTGTTCAATCAAAGTACCCATCTCTTCCTGGGCCTGCAAATCGCGGCGGATGTCGATTGGTGAGCCGGTAATCGTCAAATGCGTGGGCAGTGTCCACCGCGCGGCTCCTGCGTCTGTGCATCCAGGACTCCAGGTCATTTTTACATGTGGAGGTCGAAACAGGCAACAAACAGAGATTTGGGCGAACGGAGTGGGTGTAGACGGCACAGGAACAGGCAAAGGTTGCAGCATGTGAAACCATGCATGTGGCTCCCACTGGTTGTTCATCGTGCTCTGCTTGCACAGGCTTGCAATTAAGGCCTCAGCGTAGATGTGACGGGCAGACGATTCTCAAATCGATGGTTGAGTCATGAGTCACAGGCATTCAACCGCACCCGCCTACTGTCAGGGCATCCCAAGCGTTAGAACATGTAGCGAAAATGATTCAGAACGCCATGCGCCTGGTTTCTCACTCGAGACGCAATGTCAAATTCCTTTCGAATTTTGCATGCTTGCAATCCGCTGCGGTGGCACATGCTCCGCGCCGACTGCGCACTGCTCAACCTTCATTCAACCTGGGCCAGTTTAAACGCGCTTCGACCGTCGTCCCACCCATCTGCGGAGCTGTTTCGAGTTGCCTAAATGCCCATGGTAGCATGCGCGAACGATTATAGCGCGCTGAAGTTCAAGCCTTGGTAACCACGTCACATTTTGGAGATTCGGGGACATGTGGGCCGTGGACACCTACTCTTATTCTCCTTTCGGTTCGTAAGAAAGCCTTGGATAAATTCTACGTTCCCCCGCGACAAGTAGATTTCCAGTCTTTCCGGCCTATAGGAATGATAGCGGGGGTGTCCATTGGAGTAGCCACTGGAGCAGGTTGAAGATACACAGGTTGACGTTGAACATTGGCATTGTCGCCCTTGTGAACCTAGTCTAGCTGAGCAGACGGCGGGCATAGTTGGCACGAACAATGTATGACTGGCTGCAACATAAGTCTGGAAGCTGAAACTGCGAGTTAACCCGATGGGAAGCGAAGGAAATCATAGGAAATCGGGGAAAGTGAGGACCAATAACATCAAGACTTCCGCGTGGCCGGAACTACAACATACAGTGAAGCACCATATCTGATAGAAATTTTATCGGCGCCGACCTAATGTTGCTGCAGCAACCAGCAGTTGTACTTAATCGCACTGTGTATGCTTGTCTCTTGAGTCCGTACACCCTACGACTGTTTTTCTTCGCAGCTGTCTGGTGCGATGCATCATTTCCAAATATGGTCCACATGCGGCAGCCTTACACAGTACGAAAACGTACCCAAAACTTCGAAGCGTACATGACATGAATACGATCGAAGGCGGGTATGTGTCTCACTTAGTTTCCACTTTTGCATAGTTGAAAAATACTAGTTTCTTAAACTTGATCAATTAAGAGAACTCTAAACCCCGATAGATGTCAGTAAAGCATACGAGCCCTCAACCCAACAAACCCCCAAACCCGGATAGAACCCTAAACCATCATGAAATGCTAATCGCTAGCACAAGGCCACCCTCCACCTCAAAAGAAGAAGACAGGTGATGACCTTCGGCGGGGCCGGTGGCGGATATCGCCACGAACACAACAGCTGGTCGATCGGCCTCATACAAGAAGGAGAAGGCCAGTATGAGGGTTTAGGGACTCCCGAGGCACATGGATTGCAGCCTCCTGCCTCAGAATGTCTTTAAGGTTTAAGTTTGGATTTCATTGCTGTAAGTTTTGTCGGCCCAAACCCTAAAGCCAGAACAAATGCCACAACGCTTAGAGGGTCCCAGTGTTAGCTGGGCACCGACTGTCCAGACACGACGTTTTGGCCATTGATTCCCTGAGACTTCCTCGTCATCAGGCAGCTATAGATCTGGGTAACGCAGGAGTCAATGCGTCAGCCAAGGAAATATGTTATTAGTATTGTGTTTCGTTGTTCATGGTGCGGGGGATTTGGGTTCCGGCGTGAGCTGAGTCCATGGTGTTGATTTCGTCGCGGAGGCCCACATCTCAAAGCAACATAAAATGGGCCTTCCAGATCGCACAGGTGATGCGGCCTCTTCGATTCTGTGGGGCCGGCCTCAGGGTGGATCAGCACCAGACCTGGACGATTCAGGCATCCTTTTGCAGATCGTCATGTCGAGTGTTTGACGTTTATCCTGTCAGAAGGCCACTGCGAAGCAGTCGAAATCGTCGTCGCAAAATCCGTAGACGAGCTTCATTCACACGACTACGCACTACTTCAGCAACGAGAACTAGTAACTAGTTGTGGTACTTGTCGTAAGTTCTTCGTATATCGTGATTAGTAGTCTCCCCTCCTGCTACTGCTACTAGTGCTGCTACATCTGCTACTATGTGCTACTATGCACTACTGTTTACTGCTACTTGCTGCTACGTGCTACTACTCAACACCATTACTTACTACCACTCGCTGCCGCTTGCAACGAACTGCTTACTACTACTTGCTACTTGCTACTACTTAATTCTAAGTATACTACAACTCACTAGCACTTGGTAGCGTACTACTACTTACTACCTCTTGCTATTACGTCCTACTATCTAATGAGACTGCGACTACTACTAAGACGACGACGAATAGAAAAATGATAATACGCGTTAATAATGCCATTCACAATCGTCGCCTCTTTCAATAAGTTTAATACATCCCGAGAAGCAGAACAGTTTGCTGAGAATCCCCTGAGATCATCCCCGCATTTTGACACCTAAGTTGAATTCAGGGGTTTCAGAAGCAGGAGCAGCAGCAAGAGCAGGAGCAAGCAGCAAGAGGAAGAGCAAGCGCAAGAGAGATGAACCTTAGAAGGGGCCCCCACCCTGTAATAGTGACTATATGGATTATATTGGGACCCTAGTATACTCCTATTATACCACTATTATAGGGTGGGGGCCCCTTCTAGATGAACCACTGTATTTATCAAAAAACACGTTTCGAGTTCTACTGCAGGTGTTCAGGAACGTATAGACTTGGGGATGGGATTACGACGACGACGGCTACTGTTGCTGCTGCGACTACTACTACTGCTACTACTACTACTACTACTACTACTACTACTACTACTACTACACTGTAGTACTTCTGGAGTTACTGCAAATTACTGATACTGCTGCTGCTACTACCACTACTATTACCGCCACCACCACGACGACTACGACAATTCATAGGTACGCCACAGCTGTGGACCCATTTTGCTTGCAGGTCCTTATGGCGTACCGGTCCGAATACTTGCCCTAAATCCCGGGGCCGTTGAATTGATGTAATATTGAACCCTAAACTGTACTATTCCATTTATTAAGGCCCCTAGATCATGGATCTCCACTATAGATCCCTTCTACACCCCTGTATAAGAACTCTTTAAAGGAACCCTTGAAAGGAGCCCTCCCTATTCTAATTATCAAGGACGCTGACAAGCGGGAGCCAAACAATTATCAAGGCCCCTACGTCCTAAACCCTAAACCCTTAAACCCGAAACCCTTACACCCTAAACCCCGAAACCCTAAACCCCTAAACCCTAAACCCTAACCTCTAAACCCTAAACCCTTAAACCCTTAAACCCTGAACCCTTAAACCCTAAACCCTAAACCCGAACCCCTAAACCCTAAACCCTAACCCCTGAACCCTCAAACCCCTAAACCCTAAACCCTTAAACCCCTAAACGCTAAACCCTTAGACCCCTAAACCCTAAACCCTAACCTCTAAACCCTAAACCCTTAAACCCTTAAACCCTGAACCCTTAAACCCTAAACCCTAAACCCGAACCCCTAAACCCTAAACCCTAACCCCTGAACCCTCAAACCCCTAAACCCTAAACCCTTAAACCCCTAAACGCTAAACCCTTAGACCCCTAAACCCTAAACCCTAACCTCTAAACCCTAAACCCTTAAACCCTTAAACCCTGAACCCTTAAACCCTAAACCCTAAACCCGAACCCCTAAACCCTAAACCCTAACCCCTAAACCCTCAAACCCCTAAACCCTAAACCCTTAAACCCCTAAACGCTAAACCCTTAGACCCCTAAACCCTAAACCCCTAAGCCCTAAACCCTAAATCGCGTGGGGAGACCTCGGAGCCCTCCCTGCTGCGTGCGACTCTGCGAGTCGAAAGCCTACAGTGCCCTTTTCCATAAGCCCTACCTTACTTGGAGGATCATGGGACTTAGTAAGTAGGGTTATAAGTGCTTTAATTAGGGTTATAAGTACTTATAAGTATAGTTACCTTATCCTTTAAGTAACCTACCAAACCCTACATTTTTGTCGGTTCTTACTAATAAACCCTAATATGGATTTTATAGGGACCCTGCGAAAAAGTAGGTTTTGGTAGGTTAAGGTAGACCCACACCCCAAATGGGAGTTTCCGGGTTACCTTGTTTTTGGGTCCTTATAATAAGGATCCTACTATTTAGGGTACTATATCAGGGTCCAGTTATTTTCGGAAACTTCTAAATAGGTCATGTGAGCCTTAATTCATGACCCTGGGGTGTTGGCACGGTCCAGGGGTGCGTAAGATTAGCTTAAACCCTGAACCTTATTCTACTAATTATAATGTACCATAAAAAAACCCTAGGCCCCAAACCAACAAACATGTATTTTACTAGTTATCATATACCATAAACCCTAGACTCAGACCCGCAGCTCGTTGTTCTCTTCTTCCATGGCAGGGGACCTTCGCGAGCAGCCCTTGCCGCGCTGCGCACACTCGGCGACCTTCATTCCTGCGAGGTGCCGTAAATCATAGGAGGCCAAAAAGGGGTTTTAGTCTATGAGGGTTTAGTAGGGATTAGGGTTCTCATAATAAGGTTCATATTAAGGAATTCCTACCCCAAGAATCTTAAACCCCCCTTTTGGCCTCCCGTCACTTCCTTTTGGGCTTCGGGGGTACTTCACAAGCTTAATATGACTCCCGATTTAAGGTTCTTCAGGACCCCACAAACGAGATTTCCCGTAATTTGAGTATGGTTTTGGGTATGTGTCGATACTCCGACAATGAATCTGACAGGCACCATTACCCCAGTTCGCGCAATAGAATCCATCCTAGTTTCGCAGAGCCCCCCAGCCCCTTCAGTATCGAGAGTTCAGGGGAAGGCAGGGGTGGAAGGCGATGGGGCTTCCATAAAGGGAACGCTCCTGCCGGAGGCTCAAGGAAACTCTTGCCGAAGCACTGCTGGGCATAAGTCTGGGACCGGCCCATGAGTTCCCCCAGCAGTTTTCAAGCAATGTGGGAGTTTCCGAAAATTAGGGGTACCCTTACTTTGGGGTCCTTATAATAAGGATCCTATTATGTAGGGTACTATATTAGGGTCCCCTATTTTCGGAAACTCCCGTAGCACACTGCTCTGCAGGGCTCTTTCTGGAAAAGTTGAAAACCCTAAACCCTAAACCGTAGCATCCCGGGCTTAAGGGTCGGCCGGCTGATATTCGTATAAGTACTACTTACCCAAAGGCTCCATGTACCCACATAGTAGGTACTTAGTCCTTAAAGTGCGCATATAAATATAGGGACCCCTTAAATGCCTAAGTACCTACTATGTGGGTACATGGAGTCTTAGGGTTAGTATCAGTGTCCGCACAAGAAGCTTCACATGAAAGAGAGTCGCCAAATACAACCGGGTCATCCGGCACCTGCAGTACTGAACACGTGCCAATTCATAATTTCTGCTCCAACCACTACAGAGGTCTCTGAACAATCAGGAAGTTTGGCTTCTCGCCCTGCGTGTAGCTACATCACATTTCCCCCTATGCCCGCTTCCAGTTATAGGGGGCCCAAAAACCTGCATCATTAAACTCCTGTGCGAAACCCTGTTCTCACTCAAATATATATATATATATACCTATATCTATCTATTACAATTACAACACCCACCCATCCACCCATCCATCCATCGGTCCATCCCTTTAACCCTAAACTTTCAGGCTGGCAGGCGCCGAGTATCCCGAAGGCTGCGTCGCCGCTGCCTGTCATGTTTAGGGACTTCCTTCATTATTTGAGGGTTTAGGATTTAGGGTTCAGGGTTTCAGGATTTTAGGGCTTAGGGTTTCGGGCAAGGGTTTAAGGTGAGACACCTCGTTCAAAAAGGGGCTTCGGTGATAATTAGAGTGGGAGTCTATGGGTGTGCTACATTATCATCCTAGCGAGGAGCCCTAGGGAGAATTCTTGTGGGTCATCCTCCAAAGATACTATGTAGGGTTGAGGGTTTGAGTAGGGTTTAGGGTTTAGGGTTTGAGGCGTAGGGCTGTTGACGCTGTCATAACCTAATTTTTCAGGTAGGCCTTGAGGCTGCACTCCCGTCGCCCTTCGACCTAGGTAGGGTTCCTGTACTCCCTTAAGGGACCGCCCACTTTTAGCCTCAACTTCGGCTCCTTCCGTTCATGTGGTCTTTTGTGGCCTTCGTCTTTGGCCAGGCTGTTCAGTGGTACACTTTTTTACTTTCAGGTTTCTGGGTTCCTATTATAAAAATTTGAAGCCTAAAACAGTATATGCTTTTTCCCAGTGGGTTACTGAACAGCCTAGTTGGGATCAATCACGTAGATTCTCAGGTTTAGAAGGCTTCAGGGCTCGTACGGCGCGGAGGTCCAAGAACACTCGAGATCAAAGCACCTTGACTCACAATACCAAGACCTCAATGGTGTAAGGAAATTCCTAACTCGGGGGGGGAGGGGGGGGGGTAGTGAGCTCCTGTAGGTGGAGCCCGAGGAATTGAAGAGAAGGCAACTTCAAACGGGAACTCGTTGCCCAGGTATTTGGTGGCCATACGCAGCACTGCACGGAGAGCCTGGCAAACATGGACTCTTGGTTCAAAATCTTTTATGGTTAGGGGAGACAAAGTTCAAAGGGTGATACATATGGGAGCCGGAACAAGTACGACTCTGATCCTAATACACTGATACCACCAGAGTATGTTGCGTGATGTATATCTGGCCTTGTCAGGGATGTCAGTTCTTAGCAACTACTGTAGCCGTCCCCGATTGTCCTGAAAGTAGGACCTCATTCAACTCCTAGAATCCTAGAAGCGCCAGGCTCTTCATTTTCTGCTGAAATTTTGGGTTCAGGGATGTAGGGTTTAGGTTCAGGGTTTAAGAGTTTAGGGATGTGCGAATTAGGGGTTAAGGGTTTCAGGGTTTAGGGTTGATAGGGGGCCGAAACTGAGGACATCCTGTCCCTCAGTAACTGGCAGTGGCGTGCGCTCCCTTTCATTGAGAAATCGGAGGCGCTACCCGAGGACCGGATTCGCTTGGGTGTTTTAGAGGGGTGAAAGGCCTTTTCTGAGGGTTTGGACGTGGGCTTGTCGGGGATTTGGTTCAAGTTTTACTGGGTTTTAGATGGCTTCGTTAGACGAAGAGCTATAAGTAGTATCATTAATCATTCGGTACTGGTGCCATGGGATTGGTTACAAGGCATCCCAGCACGCGGAAACCAAATACAGCCATCGCAACAATTCCCAAGAGTGTGGAGCGCTAATACACAACCCTTCAGTAGAGGGTGCCTCAATATGTAGGTTCTCCATATGACTGCGCCAGACACAAAAGGGTGAGATATTATGTCCCCTTGCTGGACATTATAGCTGCTGGATTAGGCTCTAAGGGCCAAGTGGAAAGCCATGGAAAGCCTGTTGCAAAAAAGTGTTGCAGGTACGACATCCGCTGAAAAAGTTCCACTTTCGAGCATGTAGGGGAGTTTGAGAGGAGCAGCTTGAGTTCACGTTGAGATGGGATGTTGTCAAAATCATGGTCCCTAATATAGTACGGCACCTATTATTTAAGGTACCCCAAAAGGGACCCTAATTTTGACAACCACCCAGATGAGTGCACTCTTGCGGCATTGTGGGGATTCTGTTTGGATGAACGGGGCTTTCTCGGCCCACGTCTCGAGGACTGGCAGATGCAGCATCGCCACGGCCACAGTGCCACTCTTTTCGCAGCTTGGTGAAATGCACCCAAAAAAGCCCAATACCCCTTAATTCAGGAATATAGCTTAATTCATAAGGGGCTTCATATTATGATTTAAGCTATATTCCTTAATTAAGGGGTATTGGCCTCTCTGGGCAGAGCTGATGTGTTCCAACAGCTCCCCGCTAGACTCGCCAGGAATTTTGACACCCATCGAAACCTCCAGAGCGCCCTAGCTTAGAAGCTGCCCCCAGGGTGGGGGCAGCTTCTAAGCCATAGCCCTACTTCGCATGACACGCAGGCTGCAGGAATTTCTCAGATCGGAGTTTCCGAAAAATAGGGATACCTTATTTTGGGGTCCTTAGAATAAGGATCCTACTATTTAGGGTACTGCATTCGGGGCCCCCTATATTTTCGGAAACTCTCAAATAACCGAAGCACAATGAAGCCCCACTTGGAGGATCAAGGGACTTAGTAAGTAGGGTTATAAGTGCCTTACTTGGGGTTATAAGTACTTATAAGTATAGTTACCTTATTTATAACCCCACTTACTAAGTCCCAGGATCCTCCAAGCGAAAGCCACAGCTTCGGATCTTAGGAGGTGGACGGCAGGGGTTACCTCGTCGTCGTGGGAGGCAGATGGCTCCACGATTGGGGGTGGGAGTGCCTCAATAAGAGGGAATCGACGAGATTTGGAAGTTTCAAGAAATGACGATATTTAGCGGTAGGGGCAGGAGTAGGAGCAGGAGTAAGGGTAGGGATAGCAGAGTAGCAGTCGCAGTAGGAGTGGGAGTAGGGGTAAGAGTAAGAGTAGGCATAGGCGTGTAGTAGAAGAAGGGGGAGGAGTGGTAGCATGGTAGGTGGTGGTGGGCATGGTGGTGGTGGTGGTGGTGCTCGTAGCATTAGGAGCAGAAGAGTGGCAGTATCGGAAACCATCGGAGCAGCGTTGTCTTCGATGCTGTCGTGGTTCTGGTTAGTTGGAACTGTAAGAAGAGAGGCAGGTAGGAGAGAGCTCGTCGGCATTCTTGTAATGTAGGGGCCTTAATAATTACCAATACTGATTTTGGTTTTTGTATAATAATTAGTGATTATAGTATAATGGGCCAAGAACCCTATTCCAATTGCTACTGTAAGGTCCCCTATTAGTGATTCCTATTAGACGCTGTCGTTGAGTGATCACAACTATGAGCTCAAAATCTCATGCAAGCAGCACTTCAATAAAGAACACGCCGCTCTCAAACTCAAAACTGGCATCTCGGTCTTTTCGTGCCAACGGCCTGAAGCTCGACACCTTGCAAACAAGGAAATCTAGAGACGAAACTTTCAAAATGCTGGGATGATAAGAAGGAGTTTCCTACAAGAGACCACATGAAGTAGCATGTTTTGTCGCCATGCGCCGGTGACAATATGGGGCTGAATCATAAGGCTGTCTGAAGTATTCTGCCATATCAGCTCAGACACACAAATCCTACTCTATTTGCCCTAAGCCCTGAACCACCACCTTCCGGGTCATGCAGGAGGCATAGGCAACATCCTCGAGCAACTGGGCCAGAAAACCAGCAGCGTTCTTTGGTTCAGGGTCCCAGCCATTCGTCAGCGAGATGTCATTGACCAAATAGAGTACTTTTGAGCAGGCTTGCGACGGCGAACGGCGAACGACCTTTATATCACAACCTGCTTAAACGACTAGGAGAAACCTGGAATGTACAAGAGTCTTAAGGCCTCCACACCAAACCAACCCGAATATATGCAATCTCGACAACCCCACACCCACATCCAACCCGTCCCTTATGCCCATGCAGAGCTAAAGACAGGAACACCGAAAATGGACACAAGGTACAACAAATAGACCCGAACAAAATCAGACTGAAGACACGCAAGGTTGGAAACCATCACCCTGGAAACAATTGAATGCAGACGAGCTAGGTATGATATTGCGCCACATTGTGGATTGAACAATGTAATGATCATTGGTAATGAGAAGCATTACAAACCCCACTTCTAATGAGTCACATGGCCAAACCTTTCTAATCTAGTTATCTGGATCTCCGAACGAGCCACAGCCATTGGCCGAAGAGTTTGACACACCTTAAACCCCATCGCAGCCGACGCGAAGCGATGCCAGCCCGAAGCGAGTGTGTGAGTCGAAACCCCATCCACTGGATTGTCCGAGTGTCAGCGGCGAAACCCCATATTTTCAATCTTTCCCATGTTTTCAATACTTTCCACCTTTGCCGAGGAATTGGGGGGTTCGTGACTTCGGAGACCTCGCTGTTCTGGACTTGGACCCGAGCGGATGGCGGTGGATCGGCCACTACATGTTCCTGGGCCCTCGTAAGGTTTAACTTTGTAACTCCAGGGCTCTACATACTCTTAGGGGTACTTAGAAATAATTTTAATTTTTGGTTATTATAATCCCTAAGAAACAGCTAAAATTATGAATTTTGCTAGGGCTCTAAGTTCAGTATAGTACTCCAGGAGGGACGAGCGGCTGACTTCAAGAGCTGGTTTTGTCAAGGAATGTTGCCGGCGAAGAATGCTGGCGATGTTTTTGGAGGTCGCCCCGAACTTATTCGTTTGAATGCCCGAAGCGTAAGTACTTATTTCTTCAGTCAGAATTCATGTATATTACATGTGCAAGAGCTTCACTCCTGCCTGGGTGTGTGGCTTTGCTCAAAGTCAGTTGGGTTTAGGGTCCTGGTTGTTTGGCCAAGTTTGGGGTCGCGAAGAGTTGCAAACGCACCGCCTTGTAGGGATGTTACCCTGAAGAGCGTAGATCTTCGTGGCGTTGTCCCTATAGGAACCATGTACCCGAATAGTAGATACTTAAGGCCTTAAAGTAGTCCCCACAGTATACGCTATTTGGGTACATGGATCCTTTGGGGGTTGTAAGCTTTGACATCTCCATACCGGCCCAACCCTTAACCCTGAACGCTACACGCCCTACCCCCCAAGCAGCATAAAGCCTTTCGAGCATGAGCAACCCCAAAACCGTTGACTGCCGTGAATCCTAGACGCGGACCCTAACCCGAAATTCCAGATCCTAAACCCCAAACCCACCCCGAATCCCGAATCCAAAACCCCAACAACCCCCTAAGCCCCGAGCCTGACGAAACTGGTTGCAATTCCGGGCACCACATCCCTCAGACCACCCGCACAAGCACACACGCACACACCCGCAGGCATGCAGGCAGACAGACAGACGGGGACGTGTTTGGGGGGGTGAAGGGTTTTGCGCTGCGCAAATGTATGTCTGCGCAGAGACAGAAATACTTAATTTGGCAGTAAGCATTTGTGTGTCCACGCTCCGGTTATTTCGTGTCCTTACAGCTCCTAGCTTTCTTGTCACCAGCACTGTACCTCGGAAGTGCAATGATGCGCCTGGCAATATTTGAGAACGTGTCCGTTGATGTATGCACGCAAATCTAGCTATCCATGCCTTAGTCGTGATAGAAAACGATAACCCTTTTTCTTTTTATGCTTTGTAGTAGTGCTACCGTCGTTTTCGCGGTGTTGTCACTATTGCTGCTCTTGACACGGACCGTTTTGACGAGGTTCCGCCACGACCATTCCTTGGCTATGCCAGGGCGACACCACACGGCCTGCAAGGGCTTGGGAGGCAGAGAGCGGCAAGTCTGAAAATTCCTGCATCCGAATAGAAGGGCTCCAGCCAACTATCGCATGGCTTTGGGATCGATTTTCGTGTAGTACGATGTAGGGCAGTGTAGGGACTGACAAAAAAAGGGGGCAGCTAATTATGCACGTCCTTGCATGACATCCCTACTCATCCCTTCTGCATCGAAAGCCCCTCGTGTTGAAACTGCTGCTATCAACCCGAACGTCCGGCGAACTTTTCCGTCTTGGCCTGTGCTGAAGGTCCCAACCCAGTCACTCCTAAAAGGCTTTCTGAGAGGTTGACACGGTTTTAGAGGGTGTTCAGGTGTTTTGGTGTTACTCTCAGCAGGCCAGTTGCAAAACGGACTTCTACAGCAGGTTTTGCCTTAATATAGGGACCTTAATAATTGCCTATACTATCTTGATTATAATTATGGTATAACGGGCCCCAAAAGCCTATTCTAATCGTTAAGGCCCCTATAGTAGGCATGGGTGGGAAGCCACAAGTCACGAGGCGTTTGCCTGCAGGCGTATGTGAAGGCACATGGGAATGACCGAACCTAGCAAGCACGTGGGTTTGTGTTGTTTACCTGGACCCTAAGGAACCTGCCTTTTTCAGGGCTTCCCTATTATGATTTCTTAATATAAGTCCTTAAAAAGGTAGGCTACTTGGGGTTACGGGAGAGCTACGGTCGAAGCCCTGCAACTCCAAAGCTCTTTGACTATTTTAAGGTTGTTAAGGGCCCAAAACAGTAGTCTGCACTTTTTCGGTAAGCGCGGTTCTGGGCTCACGGGTTAGGGTCGAAAAGTTTACTTTCTTTTCCGATCTTATGAGGAAGTCATTGCCCCTGTTCAGGCAAGCTCCTTTTGATGGGCGGTGGTCGCCGTCCTGGGCGGCAGGCAGCGCTGCGCTAGTTTCGGATTTCAACTCACATTCTTCACCCCTTAAAAATCCACTGCCGTGCTCAAGACCACTCGAAACACACTACCTCCACAGAGCCACCAAAACTCATGTTAGGTCCTAGAACACAGGAGACAAATACAAACCAGAAGCCAGCAAAAAGAGCTTTTGATGGTATCGCCATGTATGTCTATGTAACGGCACGCACACAGATGACAGGGAAACGTGCGAATTGGCTTCGAACACGGTCGTCACAGGTAGCTGAACTCCAGAGGTCAATACTTACAACGCCACATCTATAAGGTGTGTACAACCCATACCTTAAACCCTAAACCCTAAACGTCTGGCTGTGTCCGAGTTGCTAGAGCATAAAACCTAAACCCGAACCCATACTACAACAACTTGAACAAGCAAGGTGGAATCTAGTGTTTTGGCAGCAATAGCCTGAGGGCCGCCCATGTTCCCCAGTACAAATATGTATGGTTTCGCGATTTAGAGTATTCTTTAGAAGCTGCCCCCACCCTGCAATAGTGACTATAAGGATTATATTAGGGCCCTATTATATTCCTATTATACCACTATTACAGGGTGGGGACCCCTTCTAAAGTATTCTTGAGTGCAGGATGTCAGGTTAAGGCTTTGTGCCTGACATTTGTCCCTCCAGGTGTGCGTTGTGGATGCCGAGCAATGCATTCGACGAGCGGTGTGTGGCGATGCGGTTGGCTCCTTCTTCGCATCAGGAACAGAGCTTGCATTTCTGTCCTGAGTTTGTGCACACAGAGCGTTGCCCGGTTTTGGGGTTTTGGCGCTGAAAGCCCAAACCATGTCGAACGCCCTGATCCGGCAGCCCTGAAGTACTCTGCACTGTGACATCGTCGCACAAGGTTCGCCAGCTGTCTGTAGCATCAATTAGGACTGGGTCCTTCAGTACTCTACAACCCATTCCCACAAGGAAAGCTTGTGCAGCGCGTGTGAACTGTGCTGGGTGCAGCATGAGCATGTTTTCCCCCCTTTTGGTATGACCCAATTGAAGAATATGGCTGCAATGGGGGCTAGGGATATTCAAGACATTGTCATAGTCAATTGTTGCCGAGCCCTTCCACATACTGCACTCCTACAGCTTCACAAGCCAAAACAAGCGCGCATCAACCTGCAACCTGGCTTCACATGGGAATGACGTACTCTCTCCTCGGCGCTTCCCCGAGATGAAAACCTAAGCCGAGAGAGAGAGAGAGAGAGAGAGAGAGAGAGAGAGAGAGAGAGAGAGAGAGAGAGAGAGAGAGGGAGAGGGAAGATTCTTTCAGCGCCTTAAACCGAGCAGACCTTGCCAGGCTTGTGCGAGGGTGAGTGTCAAAAAACCCTACTCTAAACCCTAAACCGTCCCAATTAGCCTCCAAAACGTGAAGCCGCAGCCGACTGTTCTTCGGACTTAACCTGCAATGTGGGCTTTGTCCTTGCTAAGTAGAACGGAAAACCCTAAACCCTACACCCTAAAACCCCCCCTAAACCCCTGAACCCTAAACCCTTGTGAGTGCTGAAACCCTGGAGAAAAAAAAACGAAACCCCTAAACCCTAAACCGTGTGGCAAAAACAAACCGTGGCCACAGATTCCGGGCCCCCATCCGTTCGAGACTTCTTCCGCTCGAGGTCAGACTGGTTTGCGGCCGATTCCGCACCAGGTCCCCAGGCCCCGGCTGGGCTCAAGGCTTTCAGGCATTGCCATGATTTCTGTTTCTGCTGCTACTGCTGCGGCTACTGCTGCTGCTGCTGCTGCTACTGCTATTACTACTACTACTACTACTACTACTACTACTACTACTACTACTACTACTACTACTACTACTACTACTACTACTACTACTACTACTGCAGCAACAACAACAATTACTCCTACTACTTCTACTACTACTACTACTACTACTACTACTACTACTACTACTACTACTACTACTACTAGTACTACTACTATTTTTTTCGACATGTACTATCATTCTTTGTTTTAATTTTTATTGTTGTTATTTATTAGTATTATCATGGTAATTATTTTTCGTATTTCATGTTATAGATAGTTCTTACGACGTGCTACCAACATGGTTCCTATCATGAGTATCATTCGTATCACGACTCTGGAGCTCTGGGTGTGTTGTAACAGTAGGCTTAGGGTTTAGGGTTTAGGCTTAAAGGGCAAGGCAAAGGAGTTCGGTAGCCAACGGCTTTCAAGAAGGGCCATGCTGAAGCCTGCTTGTTTCTCGCTGGTTGAATCGAAGGAGTTCGGTTCAAGGGTTAAGCTTGCAGGGTGGAGAGTTTGGGGGTTTGGTCGGGTTTAGAGTCTGAAGCTTAGCTTTGCTGCTAAGCCTGCAAAACCTCAGGAGGCCTGGCTCAAAAAAGCAGCTTAGTTGAGTGGATTTATTTCGGTCATACAGGGAACTCCAGAAAGTTGGGTAGGATACCCTATAATTTACCATTAGAAGGGTTAGGATAATCATATTCCAACTTTCTGGCTTTTACCCTAGAGGTTCTGGATATTGGTGGCTCATTTTTGGGCAGCTGTGTTCCTGCAAGGAGGCTAGAGGCAGACGATGGTTCTTATCCTGTTGTTGTCGGTAGCTCAGGGCCAGCATCGCTACCAGAATTATCCTGGATGCCCCTAAACCCTAAACCCTGAACCCTGAACCCCAAGCCCTACCCGTCGAGGTGGCCAGATTTGTTTGGGATATCCGGGCAGCGATCATCACTCTTGTAATGCTGCAAACGACCTTTCCTTAGTTCCTGTAGTCTCCACTGTAGTTTAACCAATTCTATAATTAGGATCCTATAAGGTAACCCCAAAGCAGGACCTACAATGGAGACTACAGGTATTACTTTTAAGACCAAGGGGTGGATCAACCGGGTGGCCCACATTACCTTCAATTCCTGACCAAGCGATTCAGGAGGCCCAAAGATCGAGCTTCGGCCGTACCTGTACAGCCTGGGGGCCTTTCCTGTCGCCCCCGACCCTACGTCCGATATGGCCTCCGAGAATGCAGGGCACCAGCTTCAAAACAATAGGTTCTTTGGTCGACATGTTGATCTCTGTTGAGTTTGGGGTACCTGCGAATCTCGACAGGCCGGTCGAGGGTGAAGAGGGAGGCGCAGCCGCAAGTAAAGAACTCAGGATTGCCACAGTTCGGAAGTTCGGGTTCAGTTGTAGTGTCTCTTTTTTTAGGTCTTCTTTCTTTCGGTCGTATTTCCAAAGGGCTTGTACAGATTGTGTAGGACTCCAAGGATGCAGGGGTCAGTTCAAAGGTGAGGATGTTTCAGACTTAGTCACACGACCCTGCCAACCCAAACCATATGCGGGGGGGGCTGAGTTCAGTTGACGCATTCTTTGACACCTCGCACGGGGATCCCGGCTTGGGGTTTAGAGGGTTTAGGGTCCCTGCCGAGTTAGTCCTTTGGGTGATCTTACGATAACACAATCCTTCAAAGAGCCCCGCGGAAGGATTCACTATGATTCACTGTTAGGCGTGGCTTGTCGAGCTTCCTGTCATGATCTACACCCTTTCAAGCCAAACCTTGTGGGTTTAGGTTGAGGCGCCCAAACAGCAATCAACACCACAAAAACCAATCGAAAGGTAACCCAAAACCTCAAGCCCTAAACCCAGTAGAAGTGTGAGCGCCGAAACCCAGTAGAACCCAGAGGCATCAAACAACGAAAGAAGCTGCAGATTTCTTCAAGGAGCCCTTACAGGAACACTGTGAGGAAACCCCTACAGTGAGGATCTCATAGGAGGCCTAAAAGGGGTTTTAGCCTATGGGGGTTTAGTAGGGGTTAGGGTTCCCATAATAGGGTTCATATTAACGAATCCCTAACGAATCCCTACCCGAAGAATCCTACACCCCCGTTTTAGCCTCCCATCACTATGACCCTCGGGTTAGGGTTCGGGTTTGGGAGTTTAGGGTTTGGGGTTGAGGGTTTAGGGTTGTGGGGTTTGGGGTTTAAGGAGGGTTTAAAGTAAAAGCCAGAAAGTTGGAATATGATTATCCTAAACCCTTTATGGTAAATTATAGGGTATCCTACCCTGAAACCACATTCCAACTTTCTGGAGTTCCCTGCACTGTGAGGATCGGAGGCTGCCTTGCCAGTGGGCCGAAAGATGCACGGCGCAGCCTCTCGACAGCCTCAGCGGGCTAAAGGTTCCTGGAACGAGTTACGGGGCCGGACCTGGGTTTAGGGTTCCGTTAAGGGCGCCTCTAAGGCTTCCCTGAAGGAGTCCTGTTATAGGGGCTCTTTTGGGGTTTTACGCTGTTAAACGGTCTGGAGACTTAGGAAGAACCTACGGTTAAAGTCTTTGTATGGCCAGCTGCTGCGCGAGAGATAGGTTGACTCGTTCTGGCTTAGGGATTCTTGCAAGTAGGCTCATAAACGGGTACAAGTATTCCCTGTATAGTCTTGAATGGCAACCCGAAACCCTAATCTAAGTATAAGCCTCCTATATTAAAGCATTGCTTTCGGGGCCGTTCACAACGAGGGTCTTCCTACTGGCTTTACAAATGTGGTCTTTGATTCTCTGCATCTCACTGTTTGAGGATGGGTCTTGCATCCTGTTGGAAGTGGGAGGCAGTCAAAAACTGGCTTAGCCCGAACGGCATGCTGTGATGAATCGAGTTTCCTGTCATGGCACGTCCAAACATCGGTTCGGATCCCATGGCTCAGGCTGTAATTATGAAGCCCAGAAGGCGTCAAATCTCAGACCACAGGCTATAGGGTTTAGGGGCGGGCATATACAAGTCTGTGCAAAAAAGGTTTAAGGGTTTAGGGTTTCGGGAAGGTTTGAAGTACCCTTAAACCCTAAACTGTAATCTGGCCTTAGACGGGCACAAAGTAGATCATGCCAAAGCTGAAGCTCTCAACCTCAAGCCCTAAACCCTAAACCCGATGGCCTCAGCCCTAAACCCCAGTGCTATGGAAAAAATCCCTACACCCGCAAGCCCTAAACCCCTAAGCTCTAAACCCTATACCTCTGTTAAAAAAAAACCTATACCCCTAAACCCTAAACCCCCAACAAACCCTTCAACCCTTTTTTAACCAAAACCTCGAGGCTTGCCTCGCCCCATGGGCACCACTGGTTGTGATCTTCGGCGGCTGGGAAACAGGCGAGGAATCCTCGTTGGCCAGCAAACTTAGGGTAGCGTAAGGTTACCGTTCGTTTAGGGTAGTTTAGGGTTTAGGACAACCGTGAAATCGGCATGTTTAGTTTTCAGAGTCTTTACAATGAGGACCGGACAACTCTAGGCTCAATGTTTATATTTCTTATTCTCGCAAAAGCACCAGTGTGCAGAGTTCCCCCAGGCTAGCACAGGGGAACACATGAATTGAATTACTCGCTGTTTATGTCGGAGTGAACATCTATGAAAGACCCGAAATTAACGCCAAGACCCAAAATGGTATGCCGTATTCAGGCCTTGACTGGGTAGAGTCCGAGTTCAAGCATCCACGAACGGTAGGACCCAGGCAAGAAACGGCACCGCCAGTTCAAGCTAACAAGCAGCCCTGAGGGCAGGGGCCCCTCACTTGTTATTCGACCCCCCGCCCCCGCCCTAGACTCTACCTCTTGCAGAAACCCTAAGTCCCCAAACTCCTGAATCCCTAAACCCTGCAGCATTCCAGGATCCCGAAACCCCAACTCCGATCCTACACTCTAATCCTAAACCGGACGTCCTAAAACAAACTAATCCTTCTTCCAATTGAGACTCTCTACCCTCCAGGCCAACAGCCTTGGAGAGTAGTCGTCGTATGTTGTGATGATCCCCTTTGATTTACAACTTGCGGACAGGTAGCGTGATTTAGGGTGTAGGACAAATCATGGTTTAGTGCAGTGTACCGGCAACCCTGATCCACATAGCGACGAACTGTAGGGCTCTATATGAAAGTAATCTTAGCTTGCAGGACCTCACTTTAGCGATCTCTGGGCCTTTGCCATCGGCAACAGCGCTGAGGACATTGAGGAGTCTTGACAGGAGGAGGTACATCGTTTTTGGGCATGGGTGGAGCCGTATGGGAGTTTCCGAAAGAGGGGACCCTAATACAGTACCCAAATAGTAGGATCTTTATTATAAAGACACCAAACAAGGTACCTCTAATTTTCGGAAACTCCCGTATGTAAGCAGTGCGGGAGACAGGATTGCGCAGTAGTGAGGCTTGCATGGCCCTGCTGTGGTCATATGACTGTGATATGTTGTGATCATCATAGAGTACGAAATTCCGTTTTGCTTGCTATTTGCATTTTGTCTATGACAGTCTATGAGGGCAGCCGCATTCCCTGCTATTGTTGAGGTCGTAGCAGTGCGTGTTGTAGTGGGGTAAGGTAATCGTGATGCTGGTTCTTCCAGTACAAGAGCAACAGCAGCAGTAGTAGTCGTCGTAGTAGTCGTGGTGGCTCGTCCTAGTCGTGGTAGTTAGTAGCCGAAGACGCAGTACTAGACGTAGCAGCAGGAGTAGGACAGTGGGACAGTGGGACAGTAGGACAGTAGGGGAGGAGGAGGAGGACATGGAGGAGGAGTAGCAGTGGCAGTAGCAATGGCAGCAGTAGTAGGAGTAGGAGTAGGAGTAGGAGTAGGAGTAGGAGTAGGAGTAGGGGAGTGGGAGTGGGAGGAGTGGGAGTGGGAGTGGGAGTGGGAGTGGGAGTGGGAGTGGGAGTGGGAGTGGGAGTGGGAGTGGGAGTGGGAGTGGGAGTGGGAGTGGGAGTGGGAGTGGGAGTGGAGTAGGAGTAGGAGTGGGAGTAGGAGTAGGAGTAGGAGTAGGAGTAGGAGTAGGAGTAGGAGTAGGAGTAGGAGTAGGAGTAGGAGTAGTAGTAGTAGTAGTAGTAGTAGTTGTTGTTGTAGTTGTAGTTGTAGTTGTAGTTGTAGTTGTAGTTGTAGTAGTAGTATTAGTAGTAGTAGTAGCAGCAGTAGTAGTAATAGTAGTAGTAGTAGTAGTAGTAGTAGTAGTAGTAGTAGTAGTAGTAGTAGTAGTAGTAGCAGTAGCAGTAGCAGTGCTACTTACCTCGTTCGTTTCATAACTTCATCCTTGTGCACCAGGGGCTTGACGGGCAAGGTCTTGCTAGTTGCTTTGATGTCTTCTTTGGGTTTCAGCTCGGGTATGGGGCTATTCAGACCAAGTCTGCTGTGCCTCTTCTCACACGGCCTCAATCCCGAGACCACAATGCAAACTCAATTCGCGGTTCATCTTGCTCGCCCGGAAGCTTGGGATGCCAATTTCAGGGCCGCAGACAGTGAAACATGTCGCTTCCGGAGGAAGTTGCTGGTCAGGGGTTTGAGATTCGGAATGTTGTTAGGTTTTGTGTGTAATTTTGCGCCCAGGACTACCGAATACTCTCGGAGGGCGGAGAGGCAGAGGAACAGGAGGAAGAAGGCAAGACCCAGCCTGCAAGGGTCAGGGGCGTTTGACTTCGGGGAGGGCTTCACGGGATGCAAGAATGTACTCCACATATCCGGGCAGCATCTCCGATTTTGTTGTTCTACTTAATTGCTTCAAACCTTCTGTTTACAGTTCAGAGACAATTTCAAGCAAATTCCTCACGTTCAAGACTTATTAAGGCATAACTATGCCGGCAATGCCAACATTCGCTTTCCTGACTTGCAGGCGAGGAGGACGGCTCAAACTTCGTCGGGCTGCGCATGTTGGGACCGGACGGCCAGGCAGCGCCGCCGTGCTTGCATGTCACTGGAAATGGCTAGGCATGCAAGGCTTTACCGGCCTAGGATGTTGACCTTGTCCTGGATGTAAGCTGGTATCTATACAGAACTACGTATGCATTCATGATAAATGTGTGCAGGTGTGCATTGGTGTTGGTGCACCTGTGTATGCCAGTGTATGTGTGACGCACATGCGTTTGTACATGGGTATACATGTTTAACATGTATACTGATGCAACGGTTTGTTTACATGTGTGTAAACATGTATGTATACAGGTACATGCGCAACTTCAACAACAGGCTTAACATATACACTTCGTAGCACTTGATCATATTTGTGTAGTCAGGCGGGGGAATGATTGTGGATTAGGCTTTGTTCGTTCTCGTTCATGTGCTTGGCTGGGTCTGGTGTCTACGTTTCAGGATTCCGCTTGGCAGCTTTTCACTGAAGCCTTGAAACCCGAACATACACTAATAGCGTCAGTCTTGGCCGGATCTCACAGCTCGACCAGTGTATTCTCTCGTTAGTTGGGTAGGCTCAACATGGTGCGTTTTTAAGAGGACAGCCATGGCAACAGCAGCACATCGGAATGGTGATGATGGCTGCGGTAGTCACTAAGAGCGATATTAAGTCCATCCGCGAAGGTGCGCTTTGTGCGGGTGCCGCAAGAGCTGCTGAGACTCGGAGCGCAGTACTGGCAGCAGCTGTAAGGTTGTTCCTATGGGCTTAGCCCAGGGAGAGCACTTCAGGGCCTTAGGGATCGTCGCAGCTGGTGCCTCGAGATGGGTTTGAACAGACCGGAGTTCATATCATGGTCCCGATGCTGAGGCCCGTATTCTAGGCAGGCTCGGTACTTTTTTCGGGCTCCGCCGCAGAATCAGAGTTTGTCAAATCTGCCTTTAGGCCGTAGCATACATAGCATAATCAGCATACCCTAGCCGCTACGACCTTGAACCTTTTACACTCAACTGAACCCCTGCCGAAGCACACTGGCTGCTCCCTGAAATGTGAAGCTTGTTGACATGGCTCAGGGCACAATTTCTCCGCCAGGGCATGCTGCGGCCAGCAGGCGGAGGTTGGGAACCAATGTTATATGAGGGCTCTCTTAGGGTTCTAGGTCAGGAGGATGCTTTGGACTACAGTCTCCATTGTAGTTCCTTTTGTGGTTGAACCAACTCTAGAATTAGGAACACCCCTAAACCTGATATTATAGACCTTAACGCTACACCCCCAAACCCTATAAACTCGTGCGGAGTCGAAAGAGCCATTGCACTTTGAAAAAAGCCTATAAACCCCGATTAAGGACTCTAGTTGTCAAACCCACCGGGGCCCTCCTGAAGTCGATGTCCCAGTTGTTTCTCTGGGTGATTGTAGGAGCGCAGTGCTCTTTAGTATGAGTTAATACCAAAAGCACAAGATCATACTAGGTACTACTAACAATACCTTAAAGACATATAATGATTCGATACCATATAGGGTTTGGGGATCAATTTATGGAGCTGTTGGTTTCTGAACCCGCGTTCCCTTTATACGCTCAGGGGCTCAGGATGTTGAAGCGTAACACGAACATCTCCAAGACGTTGGGGCCCAGCTTGGGTTTAAGGGTTGCCCACATAAGCGCTCGTGCTGATGCTCTTTGGCTTTTGGATGGTCAACCGAATCGAAGTGCGAAACTGAACCCTCAAACCGTTCTAGACTCCTAAACCATGATGTCCCAAAGGCCCGAAGCCTGTATCTAGGCCTTGATGTTGAATTGGGGTAATTATGGGTTTGGGTTGCGGCACAGACCGACAGCTTTTCTTACCGTGCAGGTGAGCAGCCGGCTGCAGAAGGCTGCATGGATAGCCGCAACTGTGTAATATGGGAGCCTAGAGTACCTATACTATTTTGGTAGCTCCTTATTATATTGTATAATGGGCCCCAAAACCCTATTCTAATTATTGAGGCCCCTAAAGTAAGCCATTTTCAGTTTCGGGGGGTTTGGAGCCCTAAACGAGCCTAAACCAAACCGATGGTTCAGGGCTTGTGCTTCGAGCCGGATGTGTACCACCGAAAGGTTCATGTAGGCCATAGCTAGGCCGAAAGTTGAATCCCAAGCTCTTGAACATCATCAGACCTGAGGCCTTAACGTGTAGATGCCATGAAGGTTACTGATGATCATCCCAGATGGTGTTTAGCTTCAAGCTGTATTACGCCACGGGCCTTTTTGCCACCATGCCAGCATAGATCCCCAAAACGTGATGGAGCACCACGACGAGCATGACGACTACGGAACACCAGGACGACCAGCACCCAAACCACAACCCCCAGGACGACCATGACCAGCAAATGACTCCAGGAGACCAGCTTTTGGTCGACGTCGTCAAAATCATGCTCATCCCCCCCCTCCCAAGCAAACAAACACAAAGACCTAAGCCCGAAGCCCTGCACCCAAAACCTTTCAGAGATCCTACCAGAACTCATATGGGTGGTTGTCAAAATTATGGTCCCTTTTTGGGTCCTTATTATAATACGGCACCTAATATCTAGGGTACCCTAAAAGGGACCATAATTTTGACAACTACCCATATGTGCAACACTTAGAGCCCCAAGCCGGAAGCTCGTGACAGGCTCTGGCGAGGAAGAACAAGGTTGACATCATAGTGATGCAAAAACTCACGACCGCATCTTTCACCGTAGGACGTAGGACTTTATCTTGCAAGGCCGTCTGCAAAGTCTTGCACGTATCATTGCGAGCCAAAACCTGCAGGCTGTAGGAGGGAAAACAGCAGTAGCAGCCGCAGTGGCAGTTGCAAGAGCAGAAGTAGCGGTAGTAATATAGGTGGCCCAGTAATATAGGTGGCCTTGATAATTAGAATAGGGCTTTGGAGCCCGGTGTACTATAAGTATAATAAGGAACCCCAAAATAACATAGGTAATTATTATAAGGCCCCTGTAGTAGAATGCCCAGTTTCCTGGAGGTCATACGTTAAATCCTTTAACAAGAACCCAGTAGAAGTAGCGATAGCAGCAGGAGGAGGAGCCCTAAACACCCCCATACCTGCACATGGGGTTGGGTTTACTTTTTACAGCCACTGGTGCTGCCAGGGTTGCACTGCACAAGATTTCGCATACTTGTAGGGCTCCCCATAAGCTCAAAGGGAAGCTGTTCTGCGCTGCGCCGTTTCCACAGGGTTGGCAACCCCTATGGTCCTAAATTAGTTAAGGTTGAATCCCTCAATATCACCCGGAAGCCGAAAATGGCTCGCAGAGATCACGCCAGCCGCTGGTAGCCTCCGACCATTCATCTTCCATGCTGACGGGGTGCCTTCGGGAAAGATGCGCAGCTGAACAGTTGATATAGGCCTTCATTCTTGCCTATATAACACCAAGCACCGACAGCCAAGACCAAAGCCCAAATCCGAGCACGAAGCACTTACAGCCTTCAGCCCTAAACTCAGCGAATGTGGGTTCGACGCACTTTTGTAGACTCGACCCGATCGCTTAAGCTCTTTAATTATGGTGGCATGACTCCCTTAACCCTTAACCCCTAAACCCCTAAACCCTAAACCCCTAAACCCTTAACCCCTAAACCCCTAAACCCCTAAACCCTAAACCCCTAAACCCAAAACCCTAAAACCCTAAACCCCTAAACCCCTAAACCCTAACCCCTAAACCCTAAAACCCTAAACCCCTAAACCCTTAAACCCCTAAACCCCTAAACCCCTAAACCCTTAAACCCCGATATCAGACCCGAGTTGAGCTTTCCTGCGATTCCTTTAGGAAACTCGCCTCCCGAAGACCCGAGCCACGTCCATAGTCGACCCGTCAGATGTTTGAGGTCGGGGGGGACTTAGTAAGTAGGGGCTCCTTTAAAGGGGATTATAAGGGTTCCTTTAAAGGAATCTATAGGGGTACTATAGGGTTTAGGGTTCAGGGACTTAGTAAGTAGGCAGTAGGTAGACTTATAAGTACCCTAAAAGGGACCCTAATTGGGGTTATGATACTACGGAGAAGCGGACCCCAGAGACGTCCAAGCCAGGGTCTGGGGGTGTAAATCCTGAATGCCACACCCCGGACGCTACACCTTTGATGCGAGCTTCGCATAGGGTTTTCAGCTTGATAATCAGGGCATTGGGGTTGTGGAGGTGGCTGAAAAGTTGAAGAGTCTGAGACGAGTACCTTTCTGCAACCGTGAGCTTCAGGTTCCTGTAGCTCCAAGGGTAAAAGGAGGGACCCCTAATAAGGACCAATGGGTATATACCCTCAATATAGCTACTACATACCCATTACATAGCCCATCATGGGGTAGGGGTTCTCATTAAGGGTCACTCCTTTTCCCCTTTGAGTAGTAAGATTAAGAAACCCTTGCCCTAGAACCTCAAAATAGTAGGGTTCAGATCAGGAACCCTAATAAGGCCCGGGGTTTCTTAATCAGGTGCCTTTAGTAGGCAAAGAGGCCTCGAATGGTCAACCGTAAATAGGGTGTGGACACACGAGATCCAGCATTCCTTTTTGAGAGTTCCGGTCAGGTTTAGGCGTTGAATGTTAAGGGTTCAAAGTTGTTCATATCATATCACCTCACCTCAAGCATCGCCGTGGGGATCGCAAGCAAGGATGCAAAGTTGCATCCGATTTTCAGACGAACAGCACGCGCGGTGCTGCACGGCAAAAGTTGGGACGGGCACAGGTGCTTGATTTCGTGTAGCCCAGCTCTTAAAGAGAAGCCTGCCTGCCCTGACACTCCTCGATAGAAGTGTGCTAGTGAGCAGTCCTTCAATGGTCCGCGTTTTGATGTTTCCCCTTTCTGATACAATGCGACTGCTATTGCGAATGCCATTACTTGGTGCTGGCATGTTCTGTCGAGCTGCTAGTTTGTATGGCACGTTTGACTTTAGGGCTTTCGACTTCGGCTTTTCATCGAGGGTTTCACGTGCGTCAGGGTCAAGGTTCAGTCATCGCTTGACGATTTTGGGGCTCAAGCTTTCTGGCCTCCAAGGTCTTGTGTCATGTCGGCTTCTGTCATCGGGTTTACAGGGTCTGCAGGGGATTTCATGCAAACATTGAGCAGCACGAAGACTTTTGGGTTGCATGGGTAACCGCAAGTATCGTGGAACACATCGCAATACCAACAGCTTTGTCGTCTCCGAAGTCCGAAGCAGCCATCCCAGAGATCCCAATACCCCTTAATTAAGGAATAGACTATACCTTAAACCATAAAATTAAGGCCCCTATAATTTAAGGTATATTCCCTAATTAAGGCTTATTGGGCTCTCTGGGATGAAGCCTAATCCCTAAGCAGGAGCGGGCCCTCCAAAACACGTGAAACCTAAACCCAGAAAGTTGAATCCTCATACCTTTAAGGTCTAGCATAAAGGACCATAGCAGTCATAGCACCAATCATCCCTAATCCATGCTCCAACTTTCTGGGGTTCACCATATGGTCCTCTGCACTCAAACAATTAAGCTCTTGGGCTTCGACTCCTGAGAGCCGGGCTGCAGCGGTTTAGTTAACACCACGCCTGGGAGGCCAGGGGGCAGAGAATTCGACCCAAACTCCTGTCAATCTCCCAACGCCTAAACACTAGAAGTCTTATTCTCGCCCCTTGAAACAAATCCGACCGAAATTCGTACGAAACCCTGACAAATCCAGACACCCCAAGTCGAAATCAAGCAAAATCATAATTCGCTAGACTTTTAGGGCCACATCGATACCAAGACTATTTTCGGGAGTCCTTATTCGATTATAGTATAACGCGGCCCAAAACCCTTTTCTAATTTTTTCAGGCCGCTATATCCCCACCCAGGTGTCGCTAGAGAAGAGCTTGAGCAAGCCATCGCCTTAGTCTCGCTCAGGAGGTTAGAATCACTTGAGAGTTTAGCGCGTGTTTGGGTTTCAACTTGGTTCGAGAGAGTTTAGGGCATGTTTGGGTTTCAAACTGGTTCGTGTTCAGGAGTGCTGAAAAGCTTTAGGGTTTAGTGACTGTTTGGCGTGTAAGCTGGTGAGCTGAAGATTCAGGCTGGATTCTGTCTGGGTTTACAGCTCTTGTTGGGCGTTATACGGTTGAGGGCACGTACGGCTTCTGAGTTTCGGTCTAGGGCTTGGTTGAAGGATCAGAATTTTTGTAAAAATTAGGTCCATGAGTTGGTAAAGTATTCCGACTCGTACTTGCCTTCCTCCCAATCTACTTTCTACACAAAAGTCCAAGAAGTGGGGAGGTCGGGTTCGATCCGTATTTTCGCGTTTGCTTCTGGGGGTTGAGCAGGAGATTTTTGTTTCTTCCGGATTTTAATTGAAATTACAGAGTTCGCAAGGTCTGTAGGTCTGTAGTTTAGCTCAGCGTTTTGGGGCCAATCGCATGGGGCCATGGGGTAGTACTGGTGCCTCAGGGCTTGCATGCTGTTCACAGCGGGCGATCTGGCGTCGAGAGGGGGGTGGCCCTACACTCCCAGTTGAATTCGTTCAGGTTTCTGGGGTTTACATTTCTAGCCTATAGGACTAATAAGTCTTGCGAAGCTACGAAAAACCGTAGCCCCTAAAGTCCTAAAGCTGTCAGATAGGAGTAGTGGAGATACTGTGGACTATGTGGAGCCTTGCCTGCCTTGTGCGAGTGTGAGCGTCGAAAAGTCCTAAAGCTAAACCTCACATTCCCCCCAAGAAATGCAGCAATCAACCAGAGACTTACTATAGGGGCCTGGCTATAGTTACCAACACTATCGTGAAAGTTCCTTATTATGGAATATAAGGGTAGTTGGCAAAATTAGGGTCCCTTTTTGGGTCCTTATTATAGTACGGCACCTATTATTTGGGGTACCCAAAAAGGGACCTTAATTTTGACAACTACCCATAAACTACTCCTTCTGCTCAGGCCCGCGGAGGACTCGGAGGAAGCCGAAGGCTGTTTGGGCCATCCGAGTTGAAGTTGTTGGTTTAGGGTTTAGGTTTTGGGTTTTAAAGTAAGCCCCAAAACGTTGGGAACCGGATTAGGGACGATTAGTGCTGGGATTCCGTATACATTACTCTTAGGGATTGAGGCTAGTCGGTTTCCAACTTTTGGGCATCTGCTACAGGATCCTCGATTTGATGCGATTGTGTACAGCCTCGGCACTCGAACCTACAACGATAGCTGGCATAGTCGAGTCATTACTTCGCAACCTTCCTGTTCCCACATTTGGAGTTTTGGGAAATGAGTTTTGGTTCCTCAGCGATAGGGTTTCAGGGCCCCACAACCTAATGTCAGCGAGCGATAAGCTCCCTGCTGAGATTCATCCTAGCAGTAGAGTAGGTAGCCTTTAACTTTCTGGGTAGTATAGTCCCGATATCATCCCTATATAACCAAGAAGGTTAACCTTTAGTTCTCCGTGATACCCGACAAGTAGGTCATAGGGCTTCGAACAGGATTGGATTGAAGGGTTTGAGGCGTTGGAGTTTAGAGGTTTACCTAGATTGGCCGACTACACGGACCATGTGAGGCAAGTATGCATGCGTATACCTCGCCGGCTGCAAGGGCAGATGTCAAAACCCTAAACCCTAAACGGCCGGCTCTAGCATTTCCAAAACCCAAACCAACTTGCCCTAAGTTGCCTATCCCCAACATGCAGCACACCCTGCACCCTACAGCACACTTACAGCCCTAAACCTCCGAAAATCCAAAG